CAGGCGGAGCACTGACTAGATTGCCAAGTAAACCTCTGACCATCAGAGCTTTAAAACCCAGTCCATTCTACTCCTGTAAGTTTGGCAATGAATTCAAGTCTCTGGGAGATCCCTTCCCCGCTGTGCTGGCCGGGCTCCTGCTAACCCAGCCCGGGGCACTCGCCTCCCCCCTGGCAGGATGCGCTGCTGCTGTGTGCTGTGCTCACTGTCCTCATCTTCAGTTTGCTTTGAGGCCCTGTCACCTCAGCACACGTCCATCCACTCCTTGCTGCTGAGTTCATCTTCATAAACAAGGCCTCATAAACAAATCCTGCATCCTCTTTCCCCTCACACTACGCTTCAGCACGGCACCAGCACTGAGAGCAGTGCATGGGGACAACTGTCAAACGTCTATGAAGCACTTTTAGGAGGGATGTAACAGTATTAAGGGCCACATGTTTGTAATCACACTGTTCCTCGCATTGTCTCCTTACTCCAAACATCACAAGGCAAGCATATTTTGTAAAGCTTTCTTAATTCAGCACTGGTGGTGCTGGATCCTGTTCCTGGCTCTGAAGCAGCAGCTTTCCTTTGTTGTCATCCAGTTCTTAGCATGAACCCTTCAGTTTTCCTGCAGCTCATCAGGAGGCCAAGGCTTATTTATAACACACATAAATATTTTCTCCATCAAAATGCTGCACTGAGTGAAGGGACAATTTTTAATCTGCAAACCATCTCAGCCATTGTATGCAAAACACGAAGAGGGTCCAGCTGAATGCTGCACTTCCTTTATCATTTTTGAGCAAATTTCAAACAAGCAGCCTCATCTGGCCAAGTTTTTCTCTGTTGTTGTCCTGTAGGGCTGGGTTAAAGCCCAAGCTATTGGTACCTCAGATTATTTCTATGATTTCAAAACTAGCCACCACTTCTGCCATTTATTTGCCTGCTTAGTTCATTTCTTCTATCTGCTTAAACAAAACCTCTCCAATGGAAGGTGTAAAGACAACCCAAGTCACAGCATGCTGGGAAGTAGTGAAAGGGCAGTAGTAAAAGGGAAGAGTAAGTTAGAAGATGTGCTTGTCTACTTGTCTAATCTATGTTGCACCAGGTGGAAGCAACAGACAGTACAGAACAACCTCCATCCGCTCAGTCTGAATGAAGAAACATACCTATTTTTTTGATCAATGAAAACAGTTTCTGCCTTGGTGAGGATCAGGGATAGATGTTATTGAATAGAAGACAGGAATCCAAATGTAGGAATTTTATGTAACAAAAAAGCCAGGATTTCATCCTTGTGCTTTGGTTCCTTTGTGAACTAAGGCTCATTAAGAGATCAACCAGCAGGAAGAGCAGCGTTTCTGGATTCTGTAAACGTGCTCAAAAAATCCTTGTTTTCATTAAATGGAAAAACATTCTTAGTATTCTAGTTTGTGGCCAATATGCTGAGCAGCCCTTATCACACATTGCTGCTAATTTTCAGTAACAGGAAATCTTTTACACGTGAACGAGGAAGCTGGAGGTTGGTCCCAAACAAAAGGCACAATCTTCTGAGATTCTGTCAGGATTATTTTCATGAAACAATAAATCAGCAAGCACGAATGACTACATTTCACTAATTTTGTGCCTCCATTTACTGGTCCTAAGGGAAAAAAGGTACAACAAAAGCTGAAATGAATACATACGCTGATCCTGTGGGCATTCAGCCAGCCAGGGACAGCCATGCCTACAGTCTGTGTGCTTTCTCAGGGCGTTTAATGGCCCCAATCCGTAGATAATGGACAAACGGGCAATATAGAGAAAATAAGTGACACAACCTCCTGTGCTAGCCAAAGGGAGCTCAGGGAGCAAGGGGATACACTCCAGCTGGCAGCTTCAGAACAGATTTAAACAATGGTGTAAAGATAAAAATCACTTGTGGAGTTGAGTTTTTAAGATTTAGGGGGAAGTGACAGCAGTCAACTCCTCTTGGCAGCAGGGCACTCACAGGACTTGGGACATTCACACTTTCCAATCTGATGCAAACACAGTTCTCTGCATGAGAAGTTACCTTCCCATCTGCTTGTTTCCCCCTCTCTCTAACAGGAGAAAAAAACAGCCTTAGTTCTCAGACTTGATTGCCTCTACACAAAGGCTACCTGCCTACTGCTGACACACAGAAGGGGCAGAGCTTTAACACAGGCCACTTTATCAATTTGCTCAGGCCAAGGTGGTTTTGTTGATTTCAGACAGACCTCATGGTTTTCATTTCCGAAGCAAAAGGCACTGAACAGCAAAAAGCAGCTGCAGTTTTTTGGCAGCGTTGATCCCTTCGTCTACTTCACGCCTGTGGCACACTTCAGAACTGAATCCAGCTTTACTACCAAAAACAGTACATACAAGCATCTTAGGTAACTAGATTATCATTATTTCACTTTCAAAGCCTTAACAGGACAAATCCATGATAAAAGCAACTATAGGTGATATTCTTTAAATTAGTTTTTCAACACTGCAAATGCACAAATGAAGCAAACATCACTGTGAAATTATCACAAGCATGATCCCTTGTTCTAATGCAGCAAAGGCTACGCTCAACAAGTGCCATTGTTTAACACTCCAATTACAATTGATAACTACAGCACAGTCTGTGTCATTTCCACTGAGACACCAGCTTCCCTGTCCAAGGAAGACCCTGATGCACCCTGTTTGGTTATCTATTTAGCATCTTCAAGGGCCCAAAAATAAGAACAATAGTTCATTTCCAGCTAAGTGTAACGACACTGTTTTTGGAAACATTTGAAACCAAACAAACACCTAGTGATGCAACTCCTGACAGGCCATCTTACTCTGGTCTTCAGTCCAGTTGCCAGATTTACTTCCTTTTTTGGGAAAAAAAGAAAACAAGTCATGATTATAATTATCAGTAAGTCTCGTATAGTTAGTGGCTGCTCAGAGGAAATGTCTCAGTGCTATACACAGTCAAGAAGTAAATACGTGACCGAGTGCTCATACATCAAGCACCTTGAGATCCTTGTTTCAGACAGTTTCCGAGAGCAAACCCTTCATGTATCTAAGATCACTTCATTCACTTTTGAAATGGATTGTTGCTTAAGAATAAATATCATTGTTATCAAATTGCAGTACTTGCAGTACTGACCAAGAGAGGCAAGAGAAAATACAAAACCTACCTTTCATAAACAAAACAATAGATTCAGATGAAAATACAGTTCAGTTTCAATCTGCTTATCAGAGCTGTTGGGTTACTGCTTCCTTCTTTTCAGAAATCCCATGAACCAATGAGTGCATACAACCTCAAGCGATATTTTACTTCTGAAGTGCAACCTATCTGCAAGCTTGCATCCAAACAATAGCAAGATTGATTTTTGCCTCTTATTTCTTCACGTTTGCCTCAAAGCTGATACCACTCCAATGTTTAAATGGTTGATTTTGCCTCTGACTTCTCACTTTGCTAATGTGATATTTTGCTTCAACTAAAACCTATCAGTGGGGCACATCAGCAATCCAGTGGCAATGCATCGAAGAATAATCAGTCAATGAAAAGATTCTAGAGGAAACGTCACTCAATTCTCACTAACAAGAATATTTGAGAAAATATTGGTTCTCTTTTCTTTGCAAATCTGTGCTACGCATCTGACATACAAGGAACGCTTCCTCTTCCATCCAGCAAGGCAGCTCTCTGCTAAAACTACAGGCTGGAAACTACGACGGCCTGTGCTCCATGTGAGTCCTTTCCTTCAGATAGAGGAGAATTTCCTTTGCTGGCTGTGGGAGCAAGTTTCATCCTCCAGACCACAGGTGAAGAGCCATCAGCAGCAGCACAGCTGCACTGCTCCACAGCCCTGATGAAGAACCACACTCCTCAACGTGCATTTGCCTTTAGCCTGTGATTTTTGTATGATTGTAAGTTATTTCCACTGACCGAAACAAGAATTCCACTTGCTCTAGAACGTCTACCAGTTATACAACAAACACTGAAGAAATGCTTCAGCACAGCATTACCAACCCCACCTCAGATTCTCCTGTGCCACGAAGCAATCTAGCTTTAGAAGTCGTTTTACCTGGTGAGGCAAAACCCTGCGGCGATAAACAACGCGCCGAAGGCGTCCCCAGCACCGCAACGCTCGCGTTTCCTCACCGCGACTCCACGAAAGGCCTCGTTCCGCCTGAGCGCCGCGCGGCCGCGGGGCTGCGCTGCCCTCGCGCGGTGCCGCAGCTCCACAGAGCAGCGCGGCGCCGCAGCCGCCCGGGCCGCCGCCACAGCGAGGCCTGCGCTGAGGCCTCCAACGGCCTCGTTGTTTATCGCTGTACGGGAACCCGGAATGAAGTTTTATAGCTGGAATTTCAGTTGCCCAAAACACACAAACAAAAATAATTAAATGTTAAAAAAGACCCCCCCCCTACCTTTAATAATCTGCAGAAGAATTCCCAGGTGCAGTTAGTTAGGAATTTCAGATTCGCCCGCTGCGATTTCAGTCATCACCGATCTGAGATCCAACAGCAAAAATACAGCGCAGAAAAAATGAGAGCATTGCTTAATTAAATGCAATTCAGTGCACGAGGCTTTTCAGACTGATACCAAAGCCCACAGAATCACAGAGGCACTGAGGTTGGAAAAGACCCACAGGACACCATCAGTCCAACCCCCAGCTGCCACCTGTGGTTCTCACTGAACGCATTTTGAATAGGATTAAATGGACGAACACTACAATCTGAACAGCACGTCCTCAAATGGAGAAGTAAAATAACTTAAACCTCAGAACTATCGAGTAATTTTAGCACTGCTACGAGCAATGCCGGCAATGACAAGGACTTATTCACACATGTCAACCCTGTGAACTGAAAAATACATCTGAGCTTCATCAAAAGAGCACAGGCACTTTAAGGAAGAGAGCTGTTAGAAATATCTGACAAGAAGCGACACTATCTGCATCCACAGTATTTAATTTGTTTGAATAATATAGTTACAGATAAACAGGTTCACTCCATATACAATTACCAATACCTTTTTTTTAATACAGCTCATATTCCAGTACATCAACACTATTTTATTTACAAGGTATTTATGTACATTAACATCTTTCTAAAGTCAGTGCATTGTCAATAAGCTTTATACAATAATTTACAAAGTGAATGTAGTTAATAGTTAACTTAATAAATTTACTACTAAATCATGAATTAATTTAATTTAAAAAAAATTAATTACAACCAATGTAACAAACACAGAAGATCAAATAACATTAGTAGATTGTGCTACCTGCTTAAATAAAACATTTCCAAGTAAATCAGTTGAAAAATCTTTCACTTTTCATGGAGTTTGGGAAGGGAGGAATAGACAAATGGGAACCGAAAAAAGCTTCTAACTTAGACGTTCACAATTTTTCTTCAGTCTCAATGTTCAGATCACTTTAGAGATAAAAGAGCATATGGGACAGGGAGCAACACTTCACAAGTAAGACAATACTTATTTTGGAACTGATCTGCTGCCCTGACAGCGGCATGGCCTCCGCAGACTGGGAGGTTTTAGCTTGAACGCAGACAGCAAGATCAGCTGATATAATTTCTTAAATAGATAAAACCCAGATCCTTCTGAAAATTGAACACTTACTGGTAGGCTTGGCATTCTTGTAAAACACATTAAAAAGAAGCCTAAAATTTATTTCAGAAATCAGCAAGGTAAATATCAACTGTTAGTGAGAATAGAAAATCCAGATAATTTGGAAGATGACACGTGACAAAATCGGCAAGATCTTAGATTCAGCTGAAGAACAAAGGGGTGAAAGTGTGAAACATTTCATTTACACATGCTAACGCTTTAACACTGAAAATGTTTCAAGAAATGCCTATTCAAAAAATAACCATCTTTTTTCTGCTCTCTGCCAAGACTTGCTCATTCTCTCCTTCAATGCAATAAGCCCATTAACTCAAAAGAGCATCTTGCGAGGGTACGAAAACTGTTTTAATTGTAAGTATATGCATAACCTGTTGCAAAACAGAAGATTCCAAAAGGCAACCGAATTTTGAAAGAAAGAAACCTTCTTAAATTAAGAAATCGATAAAAAAAAAATAAAAACCCATGAATGCTACGATAGCTACCTGACAACCACAGCTTCTGATTGGTTTGAAATACACAGTGGGTTAATTCACAGCCATTCACTCCAGAGCCCTTACAACAACAAAAACAAACTGTTTTTGAATTATATGAATTTTTTTTTAAAAGTGCAAACTTAAAAGCAACACCAGTCATGAAACGTAAGCTCAAGCATCTTTCCTTCCAAAAGCTGGGAACATCTTGTGCAATGTGCACATTTTAAGACACCGCGCGTGCAATCACCGCTACTCTCTTCAACCTGAAGTTTCTTCTCGAGGCATCTCAAAAGCTTAAGATAGCACTTCTCAGGCAGAAAAGCCATTCCTGAAACATGTTGATCTGCACAGCCAACACGTGGAGAAAACACAGGTAAAATAAACCATTCAAGTGTAGAAATTAATCTCTTTCCAAATTAGGATTTGGTTGTGCTCCCAACATACAGAAAGAAAGCAACTGATACATTAGTGGTGGCAAAACTGGAAAGCTTTCCTACTTCTGGTGTTCATTCTTTAAATTTGTCTACTTTCCATTCTCTTTCTTTCCCCATTTTGCCAGTAAAATGCAATAAAACTGCAGGAAAAAGGAGGTAGCAACATCATGTTGTCCAAAGACAACACTACATTTTTTCCCCATATTTTAAATCTAAGGAGAAATGTAGGGGGTCGTTAGAATAGGTGATGAACTCTACACTACTTTGCTTAGCTCTTATTTGGACTATTAAATTTAGCTCTTATTTGGTCCTTGTCGGCTTTTCTCAAACCATTTTATTTAAAGGCCAATGGCAGTCTCAGCCTGATGTCTTAACATCAGAAACATTTAGAGCATGTAGTGAGACAACAGAACGAAACAATACTATCTCTATATTAACTGCTGTTTAGTTAGGGTTTTCTTTTTGTGCTTTCAGATCACAGGGTACAATAACTACACTTAGCTTATCTGTCCCAATAACATTTTGCCAAATGTAAGTTTCAGGGTGTTATCCCTCATACTCATCAAACTGCCTGTTGAAGACCATCCTCTTACTGCAGAACACAGTACTTCTTATAATCTGACTCAAAGTCTTCATCCATGCTGCTTGTGTCTGCCATCTTCTTGCCATCAATCTTTGGCAGAAATTGTGCATAGTCTACCCCCTGCTGCTCATAGAAAAGAATGTAGGCAGAGTCGGTGTCAATTTCATCAGGATGCAATTCCTGCAAAACACAAAAACACGTTCTGAAATACACATTGGTACAACTGTGTTACTGTCACTCGACTTACAATACTCACAATTGCCTTGGAAACGGTACTCTTTAGAGGCTGTTCACAACTAGAAGGATCACGCTTTCTGCCTTCCTCATTACAGTTATCAAGCTCAATTATTTACTTGGAAAGTGTAAAAATTTCATAGAGCCAAATGCAAATACTCAGAAATACTGGAACTTAATTATTCAGTCACTGAATACAAAACAACAAGTGTCATGAAAACACATTCTTGGATTTCCATTTTCAGAAGCATTTCCATCTTTGTACAAAACAAGCATCTTCCCTTAACCACATGATAGCAGCTGGTGAACAAATGTTAACTTGAAAGAAGCATCACGTACAATTTTAGTTAAAAAACAAAAACGCCACAAGAATAATTAAATGAAGCAATATTTGAGATGTTCATGATTCTAAAAGAAGAGTTCACACAAAACAAGTTTCTTTGAATCTAGATACCTGAGGCTGCAATTTGTTACAACAGAAGATTTACCTTACAGCTGCTGTCATTGTAGCAGTACCACTTGTTGTTTGGGTTTTTGGCATAAGTGACATAGTGACCCCCTCCCATAATTCCTGAATGGCACTGAGGAAAAAGAAGAAAAAAATTCACGCTCAGACATCACAGCTGAGAATTCACAGAACAAATTCACCATTTTTTATGGAGCAATGGTTGACGACAATCTATGCCTGCCAAGGATGCTTAAATGATAGAGACTCTCTTCAACAAAATCTCTTTCCTCTGAAGTAGCAGCACACTGCATGCGCCAGACACCTCGTGCACACTGGCCCCAGCAGCTGAACATTCCCCATCCACAGCCAGTCTCCCTCTGTCCTTCAATTTCTTTTGCTATCAAATTTTCACATTATTTTTCTCATCTCATAAAGAATATCAGTGTTCCTGCTAATTCTATTTTGCTTTTACCCTTTTTTTTTTTTTAATTAAATGACTGGATATGACCAAGCACAAAAAGCACTAAGCAGAGACGTACTTTTCACTCAGTTTTAAAGGCAAATTTATTTTGCTGACTACACTTTCTTCTCCTGTTTGATCAACCTTTACTTTCTGTAATGAATACAATAAACACGTCCAGTCAATCAATGCCACAAAGATAGTCTACTCGCACAAAAAGCCAACTCACCGAAATTGCATATAGGTTGTAAATAGGGTTAACACAAACTTCTTCTCTTTGGTCATCTGCAATATCCTCCTCGCTGTGGCTATCAATCTGGCCGTTGATACTACCGTTGCTATACGCGTTCTGCTCACAGATGTATCCGTTGGCTAGAGTTACCTCACTGTCCTGAGCAGTATACAGTTCAGTATACAGTTCATTCTGACTACCACCCAAATTCTGCCCCCTTGTAAAAGCATCACTTCGATCAGAAGCAATTTTCTGTTCCTGGTCAGTGCAGTTTTCTTTACTTCCATCCAAGTTTTCTTTGCTACTTGACAGTTTGTTTTTCCCCAGTTGCGGTAGCCGCAGGCGCCCTTTGCCTCTTCCTAAAGTCCTTGGGCTACTGTTTGGGCTACTGTTCTTACTCGAAGGACAGCTGGTTCCACTCTTCCTTCCCAGAGATGGAGATGCTAGAACGGAAAAAACACGTGGACTATTAGGCTAAGGAAACACACCGTCCAGATTTTCGCAAATAATCAAATATTAAGAGAACACCGTTCCACACAAAAGTAGAAGTAGCTGTGCACACACCCCCACCAACACTCCCATTTAACTCTCATGTAGAAGCACGTTCCTCAGACTCAATTCTGCCCACTGTACACAGACATGGAAGTACCAGTATTCTGTAATGTTCTTTTTAAAAAATAGCAAAGCTTCATTAAGTTTTCCAAGGCAAAAAACAGAAGTGGTGAATGTTTCAGAATAATGTAGTGATTTAGCAACATATATATATATACATATATATATATATATACACACACACATATAATTTTTCCCAATTATCAGCACTTAATGGAATTCTACCTAATAATTGCCTACCTTTGATATTATTCATGACATTAGCAGTGTTAAGGGATGATGGACTTCTGTTCACATCTCCTTCTGTTGAACAAGTGATCTGCAGATCTATTTTTTTAGCATCCCCTTGAAGAATCCGTGCTTCAGGAATTTCGTCAATTTGAGGAATTAATTGTTTTCTCTGAAAATGACTTGGATCCCTTTGTACCAAAAAGGCACTTGGGTCAAAATTTTCTCGGGGAAATTTAACAATTTTCTGAGATTTTATCCAGCGGCCATTTACAAACTGAAATCTTTTCAGGTGAATGATCTAAGGAGAGAAATACGTTAAAAAAATTAAAGTATTATATCAGAGTAATTTCACTGTTAAATGTATTTTTTCCCCCCAAAGCATACACATTTTATCATTTATTAATAAAACATTAACCATGTAGTATGTGACAGTGTGCGTTGTGGAACTAATATTTTCACAGGGAAACGATGGAAAAGTTGCTTCTCTTCAGTGACAAATATAGTGGTGTTTTGCATAACCTACCAAGTTTGAAAGAAACAAAGGAGGTGGTTACACAACTAGACAAAAAATCACATTGCCAAAAAGACTGTTTAAGTGTGAACTCTGTCAGAGCAGATGAAACAGAATACAAAATGCCACCATTTGCTGCAGTGTTTCAGCTAAAAAGATTCAAAGGGATATGAGATTTATTTCAAGTTATTTGCCTGCATTACAGAAACGTGTGCTGCAAACTAAGTCAGGGCCCTCCTGAGACCATGAGCAAAAACACAACTTAGTCAGAACAAGATGACAATTAGCAATTCAAATCTTTAACCAATGCCCTTTGCTTTTATTGCTGTGGAGGAAAATGAAACAATACCATACCAAAATGGGAGGAAGCCTCCAAAGATCCAGTTTTTTTGTAGCCAAACAATGGGTCTTGCATTTGGAACAGTAGTACATCTCATCTTCACCCAGTTCTTCTTCACTGGTGAAGGCTCTAAGACAACTATCCAGGTTGATGGGCTCTGCTTGAGCTCGGCGGCTTTGTTCAACACTTTCATGCTCTTCTACAATCTGAAGTGAGATAGAACTGTATCCGACTTGGAAATACACACAAATTGCTCAGAGGAAGCCTCTGTTCACAGTATCACACAAATAACATCCTACGCTAATTAAGAATGGAAACCAGATGCAACAAATTCTAGCAAAAATATATTTCATTTATGAAGAGGCAAACATACAAATAATCTGTCCTTATTCTCAGCTTACAAAACAATCTGTAGAGCACAAAATTCTGAATAGCTGGTTGAGTTCAACTCAGCTACATGACTATCTTTAGATTGGTTTTGTAGACTCAATGAATCAAATAGGTTTACTCAGGGATAACTGTTTATGACACTGGCACCCTTAGAAAAATCTATTTATTAACTTTATCTTGGTGAACTACGGAATAACAAAGGGTTTCTGTTGCAATTTTACCCGTTCCTGGGATGTCTGGTAGCGCAGATGGAGTGCTGTTGGATCCCAGTCTACAGCAATGTAAGCATTCCCAACAGAAGCTCTATCCTCTGTGCACTCAATTTTACAGCCACGACAAAATCTAAGACAAAAAGATGTGGGATGTACACTGCCCAAAACCTGTCCGATTTTACATTACTTCACACTTCTAAGAAAAATACAGACATTTTTACAAAACGATTTTTAGGGCTGGTTTAGTACAGAATTTTAATACCCATGAGAAATTGAAGCAGTTGAGTAATTCCAGCTACCTACCTGTGCATATTGTTGAACGGAGCTGCTTGCTGCACACACAAATACAATGCTTTGTTTCCACAGGCAAACACACATTTACCTAACTGTAAAGGTCTGAAACTGTCAGTAGCATGTCTGTTAGGGAAAATTTCAAAGCATGTGCCCAGGGTGAATCTCAGACCATCCTATTTCTGTTCTTACCCTTTGAACAGCAGAGAAATGATTGAGGGCAGATAATGTACTTTAAAAGTTCAGTTTTGTATGAAATCCCCACAAATCACCTGAACAAGTACATGTATGTGCTTGCACATAGACACACACACACAGCAGATGGTAAGGAGTTAAAAGGCTTTTGGGTTTTTATGATTTCCTGACTTTCTCCAAATTTAAGGTTTCTGTCAGCAGAACTTACAGCTCTGAGTCACAAAAGTTATTCTGCAGCACAAGTCTGCCACGTGAGGGTGCTGGTTAAATTAGATTTCTGATTCTTATTGCTATTAGCTCTGAAGACCAAAATATATCAAAATCCCATTTTCATAGATTACATTTCTGCTGAAGTGATTCCCTTAAGTCTAAAGATTTACCTGTACCACGGACACCAAGCACAAGAATTTCCATCCTTCTGAACCACTCTTAGGGTGAATGGATACTGATATCCCATGCTGTCATCACTGAAACAGAAGAGAACACAGCATGAAACAATGTACAAGACTGCTAGAAGTCCCTGGCATAACAAACTATGCAGTAATTTATTGCTAAGATGTATGAAATGGGACCACATGGCAGCTGTGTTATTTTTCCATTTGAATGAGTTATCAGAGCATGAGAATGAACCAATTAAGTTGTGCCAAGCATATCTTTAAGGGCAACTGGAAGGCCTGCTGCATTTAGCTACACTGCAAGGATTTAAAGGTTTTTGTTTTTTTAAATTATTAAACTTCAGGACTCTGAAATGAATTCTTATGAAAATAACCCACTAGATGTAATCTATAGGCAGAAATCACTTGAAATAGAAGCACACAATTATTTCTAGAATTGCTGACATTAAAAACTTAATTATACATTTAAAAGCATATATTCATTCAACAGAGCTTTATGAGAAGTGAAAATTCATGAAGATGAAAACCAAGTATTTTTAAAATCTTGTAAACAAATCTCTCAGCTACAGCATTACACAGCTCAAGCCAAAAGCTGGCATGCCAAACTCACCAGTCTTGTGCATGATTACTAGCTTCTTGAGGGGGGAGGGGGCTGGCAAGCCTGGAAACCTGAATCCATACTGCATCATACAGATCCTTCTTCCGTGTGTGAACAGTGCAGGGAACAATCAGTGGCATTCCAAAGAGACTGGGACGATTCTTCTGAGATGAAAGAAAGTACAGTTCTGTCCGCATCTGCATAATGGAAAAAAAGAATGACTCAGATACAAGTATATACTACCCCTTCTTACCATGACGACTAGGATGCTGACCTTGGTTTATATTTTAGGTTTCAGCTATTAAAACAAACTATTAATTCTATTAAAAGTGCACTATTCCAGCAATTTTTTCATCTTTTTTTTTTTTCTTCCAGTTCTGCTGAAACTGCCTGAAAGCCTTTTTGTATTACTTTACGGTACCACAGCAATGCTATTAATTAATTATTAATGTTATTTAAGCACTACACCACATCAACATACATCTGCTTCAACTATGTACATTTTTTTGCATATCAAACGATGCACATTTCTTACTTTTCTCATCAGACAGCAACACTGTAATGCAGATGACACTTAGTGATGCTACTATCTGCTCCCAAATGATCTCTGTACTAGGCAAGCTTATATTCTGTATAGAAGGAAAATCTTTACATTTACAGAATACACAACTTACTCCACACAGACAAATTGGCCTTTGTGCTACATGTCTCATTTGCAACAAAGACATCACACCAGCTTAATGACACTTGGGTACAGTAAGCTGCTATGGCCTTGCAAAAATTGTATACAACTGACCCTTTCAATTAGGTTTTTGACAATGAAGGACTGCTGGAATAGGTTCCTCTTTCCTCTTACCCAAACCAGTACAACTAACAAGCTATAATGGCTCAAAAGCATTCTACTCAACGCCTAAGAAATTCTACCAAACTTGAGAGAACAAAGCAGGAAAAGTCTCATACAAACATGCAGTCAATTAAAATAGCCTCCCAGCCCACATCCACTAAGCTGTAAATGTCAACAGGCTCTGAAGACATGAAGACAGTGCACACCAAATACATGGCTATTTGAGGTGGTCAGCCATCCAACTTTGACATTTAGAGTTCAACACTACTACAGATGCTTTTTATGAAGAGTAGTTAATGCCAACAGAATGAACTATGAATGCACTATGCATCTTCACTGTTTCTGTGTATGAAATAAGGCTGTTTCATATAATTGAGAAGAAAAGCATTTCAAGTAGTTCCTCTAAGGATTTTTTCTGCTCAAAGAATCCTAGAACATTTAATCAGGGAGCTGGGGAGCACCCAAGTATGCATCTCACATTAGAGAAGTGGTAAGCATGCCAATACTCACAGAAGAAAAATACATCAACAGTAGACATTACTATTGAAATCTACAAGAGTTGTACGTCCAAATAACTTGGTGCTTACACAGTAGAGAATACATACAGTAGGGAAACATTCATGATCCCTTATAAGAAATACGTATTAATTTATCGTACAGATGTAGATAGAATACCCTCTCTGACTTTCTCTAGGTGTTACACAAATCGTTTAAAACAAATGCAAAATCTACTAACCATTTTTCTGTGGACTGCAATTATGTACCCTGTACATGGACTATCAGAAAGCACAGGCACGTGACCATTGAGAGTCCAGTTGGCAAGGCTACGTTCTGTTCCACATGGCACAACAGTATTTGGCATTCCATTTGGAATCAGGGTTGGTTTGGGAAGGTCCCCATTCATCATTATGTTAGGTGCTCCATTAGCTGATGATCCAGTTGAGATATCTGCAGATAGATAATTACATTCTTACTCAGCTTCATCAATCATAATGCATCACAAGCTTTTTAGGTAGTCTTTTAGTCATAATCCTTTATTTGCCTAAAATTTTGCAAAACCCTGAGTATGCAAGAGCAAGAAATAACAGGCATTTACAATCTATGAAACCACAAACAATTTAAAAAAGCAAAAACTGAAGACTTTTTTTTTTAAATACATCCTACACCAGAGCCAACTCACAAGTAACAAAATATTTTGCATATTTCTAACTGAGATGTATATCTAGTGATCTTCAGATCGCTATGCTGGGCTTAAGCATAATAAGAATCTGAATCAGCCCACAGAGAGACTGCTCACAGCACCTCTGCAGACCAAAACTTGGACTTGTGTCCTGTTTTTGAGTGTCACCTTTCACACTGTACTAAGCAGGTTTTTCTCCTGAATTCCTGCACTTTCTATTTATATTCCTATTACATATGTATTTATATTCCTAAGCACTGAGTATTTTACATGAATGGGAAATAAGAACGTTTTCTTTTACCTGACTGCACAGGACTTGATGCTGATGTAGGTGATCCTGGAACTGGTATTTCAAATGCACACAAAAACCCGCTCACTGATAACCGGACTTTCTGGTTGTCCTGAGGAAAATTCTTCATTGAAAAAGGGAAGATCAGTCAGATATGTCCGTATTTCTGTGACTCTGAACACGTTTTGCTCTTTTGAAAACATTACACCTATCAGATTATCTGCTTTCTTACACCTTACCAAAAGGAGAAAGGAGAGCCAACAAGCAGATCATTTTGCATCGATGTAAGCATATCATGCACTCTGTACAGAGCTTCTACTTTAGTCTCCAGCCTCTCGACAGTGTTTAAGCTCATCACAGCACTCTCACTTGAGATTTGTTACAGGATGACTACGTCATGTTTTTCTAAAAATATCACTAGTAATGAATTCAATTAAATTTCTGCAAGCTTTTACTTCTCATTTTATTTACAAGCTGTTTACCTTTGCTCAGCTTACTCTGATTTTAATTTCAAACAAATTGAGCTACAGTTTAAGACTGAAATATAAACTGAAGCTCATATAGAGATTCAGCCAAGCTGACTTGTTTAATCACACTTTCAGTTCAATCATTTCACATTCCTGGAATACAAAGCTTAACGTCAAGAAGAATGGACACGTGCCAACACATACAAATAACAGTAAGAAATTTGCAGCTTTTTTTTTTTTTTTACCTTTATATTGGAACTGTGCACTTCTGCAAGTAGGATCTGTTCTGGCTTTAGCCCACAGAGTTCACTTAACTGTTTTTTCAAACCCGTATATTTCTCATCCATGTTCAATCTCAGGCCGTATCGAACGGGAGTAGTGCCATCCAACTTGATTACTTCAAAGGGGAAAAGAAACGCCACGGTCAGCAAGTCAGGAAAGAATTAATGGAAATAAAATATTACATACTCACACGGAAGTAACTTTTTCCACTAAGACCTGATTTTCATTTTATACTTTTTTAAGTGTAAATGCTGACACAAATGAATTTAGAATGTTTCAGATCTGTTCCTTGGAAATCCATTCTACGTAGAGCTTCTATTTTAGCACAGGCAAGTTGATAGGGAGTTAAGTAACACGACTCACCTGTAATTTCTAGGTGCATGTAGCTATCCATGGGCAAAGGCAAGGATAAAAAATTGAAAGGGTCAAACCTAACGCTTATGTGTCCACAAGTTTTACATTTAACTTGTGATTTCAGCTGCCCATGAAATAAATCTACAACAATTGATCTGTTTCTTCTCAGATGGTTTTCCCAGGCCTAAAACAAATTGCAGAGAAACAACACAAAGTTAGAAGTTGCAGTCTACTTGCTTGCTCTATAGGAAAAGGCTATGTTGGAAGACATCTCAAGTTCTGTCAGCCTATGGAATTCAAGTGTACTTCCACAGAAACAGTTTACTGATTTATTAAAATTAGTGAGTTTTCAGTTTCCGTGGGAGTGAAGACAGTTCCTTCCCCTAACAAGATGATCAAAACATAACATCATTTGAAGTATTTCTGAAAGGACCATCCCTTGAAAAAAAAAAAAAAAGAAAAAGTCCTACTATTCTGAAGTCATTCAAAATGACTGTGAAGTATCATCCATATACCTTATTATAATATTTAATTTAAACTCATTTTCAGATCAGATGTGAAACTGACTCCTTAAATCACAAATCTAACAAGTTTCAGAAGACCAATTCTGAAAGAATACTGCCACACATAGAAATCAAGTAGTTTCTAACAGCTTACTGTTATGAAGGCAAAAGAAAAATAAAACAAATAAACCCAAACAAACAAATGAAAATACTTAAACCTATACCTCAGCTGCTACTTCCCAGTCTGGCCGACCATCGCTATCTTTCAGTTCAACATATGGCTTATCATGAACTCTATTCAAATCCTCATGAAGACCATCCAAAAGGAAAGCCAGAAGCTCCTGCGAGTCTTGCTGTTGAAAGCCATTAAACCTTGGAGCGTATTTTGCTATTGTCCACTACAAAAAAGCCAGAAAGTTACATCACATTACATGACAAAAGTTGTAGCAATGTCATAGAGAAATCACATGCTGTCAACAAACACAAATGCAATTGTGAGGACTTAAAGACAACTCCCTATGTTTTCAGAATGAGAGACTACTGACAGGTAATGCATGATCTTCCATTCCTAACAAGAGCTACGAAAATCCACATCTTAGAACCTCTGATTTGCATCAGGTAAAACCTTTGAGCTCATGACCGCTGAATCATGATTATGTTCAACAGAAAGCTGCTCTGTTGCTGACCCCTAGGACAGATGCACCCAGGCCACCTCCAGATGGGTGTCTTGGCAGGAGGCAGGCCTTTCCCAAAGCAGCAAGTACTGCAACCACTTTGGAGTAAAAAGTGATGATTCCAGATACGCTTGTTGGCTTCATAGCCAACTTCTATCACACAGAGCATAGTCCACATTTCCTTTCCTTTCTCTATGGAGATACTGATTTGAGTCCCTGAACCAATACAGTTAACACTGAGAAAAAGTGCATTAAATCTGCTGTTGTTTTAAGAAATTCTTCCTTTCTGCTTTTAAATAATACACATCACAGCCTCACCCGCAACTTCAGTGGTGCTATATTCTTCTGAGTCCCACTCCACAGCTCCTGAACTAAATCCCCGTAGCATTTGGCCATGTGTCCTTTCATTCCTATTGGATTTGTCCTAGAAATGACAAAGAAATTAATACCAAAGTGAAGTTAAACAAAATTCACGCATGAATATAAATGAGGAAGCACAAAAGCTTCTTGAACTGTTTTAACTCAGCCCAAAACAACAACAACAAAAAACGTTACAGCTCCATGCATCTAAATTACCACCTGTTACACAGCTGACATTTTATAACGATGGATCGGAAGGACTTGCTCATACTACTTCTGAAAATAGAAACTAATCTCAAGAAATGCTATGACACCTAACTGCCAATGGTCTCAGAAAAATTACCTGTTAAGTTCATAAAGATGTCTTCCTGAGATGAAATACCGTGTCAGAGGTTGCGTATTACTGACACACTGGATACTGGAGTTCATGAAACATGTGTTACCCAGATTGCTTAATCCAGTAGCACCCTTCTCAGTAGGAACTGAGAAAAAGAAAACATAATTATGTCAATTCAGCAGCTGTGAATGATTAGTCAGGAATGAAGTTCAGAATACAACCTTTTCACCATAACCATTACAGCTGAAATTGCTCCCACTTATGAGACTACAGCTTGCACAGATCCTACAGAGGGCCAGCCTGTTCAAAGCGTCCGCTCTCCCAGCTCTGCTCATGTCAACAGAAATTGAAGTCAGTATTTTGTTGGATTTGATCTACCATCAAAAAAAGATGAAACCCACAAAATCCAGAATTTGCTACTGCTGCATCTCAGTGCCTGAAAATACATCCATCAACAGATCCACCTACCACACTTTACTAGCATCTAAGTTAACAAAACAGAAAGAACATGCAAAGCCCCATGGGTGTAGAAAACCATTTGCAATGTTAACAACACTTAAAATGAGTTGTTTCAGTACAATGTAGTCTTGGATTTTTCTCCTCACTGTGGCTCAAGCACTTACCTTTATGTCTGTCTATTTTACTGCTGTTTGCTATAAAAGACATCTCTTCAGGCCAGCTCATGTCTTTGTTTCGAACTAGAAAGAGATACAGCACAAGATTTTCTGGTTTACCAAATATTCCAGTCATCTTACACAGCTAAAGATTCTTAATTAAAATTTGCAAATGAGATCATACATTTGTTTATTTTCAGTATATTATTACTTTTGCTTTCATTTCAGTTGTTTCCCATCGTTACTGAAAATCATTCTAACGCTGGCATCGCTTCAACTATGCCAAGAATGTCCTACGGGAGCAGCCGTGAAATTTCTTTCTTGTCAAGTAACAATTTTTCAGTACCTGTTTCAATATTTAAAAATACATCCTTCAGACTTGTATTATTTCAGGAATGATCACTAGTATTTTTTTGTTTGTGTGTACTAACAAAAGATTCATGTGTACTTCAAAACTGTGACAAATCTCACACATTTCATTCCTAAGCTAACTTGTCCACCACCTCCCCATGAACCCCTTCCCTCCGTAAGCCACTGTCTTGCATTGACACGGTCCTTGCTAGGGCACATCAGCATCTGGCTTAAGGAACCAATATTGCTAAAAATAAAAAATAGAGTTATTTTTCACTGTATTACTTCTTACAGCCAGCTCATCAGGTAGGTGACAAATAGTTGGCCACAAATGACACAATAAACAGGAGGAGCAGATGGCTTCTTTTAGTGGCAGTGTTGATTCTGTTCATTCAACTACAGCCTCAGGATCGTTTCAGCTGATACCTGCAGACCCTCTCTCCCCTCTAAAACGTAAATACTCCTTTCTTCCCATGTGTCTAGTGTTTAACACAGATAACACAGTTAATTGGATGAGCCACTGTGTCAATTTTAAATTGATAATATATGAACTGAGCAAGTGGCAGAAGGACAATTCCACCTGGCACAGCAGCCTGAAGCGTAACATGAAACTATGCTAAATGAAACTTCTACAGAAACAACACAAGAACCAAATTTACAGCCCGTGTAACCTTATGGACAAGAGCAGGGTGGATCTGTTTCTCAAATTAAGAGATCAGACAAAAAGTCAGGTCAAACCAATTTAAGAAGTCAGCTAATCCATGCACTCTGATATCTCTGGCAAAGGTCTAATTTATTAGTAACTGCCAGACACAGCACTGCATGGCAGAAGACTCAATCGACAAACTGAAACAAGAAAGGCTTTGCTCGCTTACAAAGCTTTTTCACTGTGAGCATAGTCAGTCAAGCAGAAATGTATTTGGTTCTTTGCAGACTGGAAAAGAAACACAGCTTGTAATGAAGTTCTTAGAAAGGAACCTGATGTGGACTGAAACAGGACTGCAGCAGCTGTCCTGACCTTTCACTTGTAAGAACGTTGTTCACACAAGTATCATAACATGAATTCTTGTAAAATCAGTGGGGGCAGGGGAGAATCAAATAATGGAAAAGCCTCAGATGCACCATATCACACAGATTTCACTTTATCTCTGGCGTTCCAGTTCCTACTTAGCAGTAATGAATTGATTGCAGCTTTGGTATTTCTTTCAGTATTTTTCTCAGTTTATCCAAGATAGGTTAAAATTTACACATACTCTTCCTTCTCAAAACATCTCCAAAGAATAAATACTTGGACAGCAGGCCAAATACATTTGAGTAGTAGCGTGGGCAATTACTCTGTGGTGCAATATGCACAACATATTAAGGATACACAGAGTCAAAAAACCATTTGTTCTTAGTGCGAAAACCATTTCATATCCTCCTTTTATACCTTCTATTACTAGATGCTGTTCATCTTGGATTTTAAGATATTCCAGTCTGTGGTCTTCATCATCCAGCAAAGTAAGGTAATTCTGCAGGAGAAAAAGACTTCATAGTTATTATTCTCTGAGGATGTTTTAGTCTCAAAGCAATCAAACTAACATAGTATGAACTTTCTTTTCAGAAAAGAGTACCAGTTTCCTAATTAATTAACTGAAATTAATTAAATATAGCAGTTCACTGATCAGCACAAGTATCTGTTTCAATGCTCCAGTTTTAGATGGCATTTTTCAATAGAGAACTACATGTACTCAGTGCTTTGGAGGAATACTGCTTGCTCACTGTCATTTCTTCTCATACACATTTGGAAGACATCCTGTGTGTTTGGCTTGCATCAGCAGAGCCCTACAGTATTGTGTATATCAATGAAAGCACATATTTTTACTTCCATTCAGAACAGTTTCTACGAAAATTTACATCATGAGTATTAATCTGTCAGCCAACTGCCAATTTTTAAACATATTACAGGAAAAATTGATCTTTATCCAGCTAATAACACCAGAATATAACTTTCATTTTTTTTTGAAGTGAAGTCAGTGAAGTTTTTATTTACACATTTTGGTCCAAGTTCTCAGACATGAATGGCTGTAAGTAACAAAGGGAACTTATGGCCTTCATTTTTTCTATGCACGTATAAAATAACATGATATACAGTATTCATACGCTGCTAAACAGAAAGACAAAAGCAGACCAACATTACCTCACTGTTGTACAACCAGAGGCGCATATCTTCCTCCTTTATACGCAGCCTCTGAGAGAGATATTCATGTATCTCTTTAATTGTTTGCATTCGACTGAAGCAGCCAGTGTAAGCCAGCACTCTTTTTAAAGGAGCATTCGGTGAAGGTACATTTCCTGGGTTCAGAACAAAAGAAAAAGGCAAAAGAACGTATATACCCACATGCAAACTGAAATACAAATCAGATCCATAGCAACTTACTGCACACACTCTGAATACTTTGGTTTTTTGCGTTTGAAAAAGCAGTCTTCCTTCAGTTTCAGAATAAGAACAGTGTGTTACACTGAAAGCTGGATGTTAACAACCCTTGGGAATGTCTCACATCAACACAAAACAAAAGTTATGCGATCACAAAGATAAAAACATCTCCCTTATTACCAAAACCTATTAGAAAATCGCTCCATTACAATTCTCAAAGGAAACAATTTAAAAGAAATTTCAAAATGACTGGACTACTCCATGCTTTTTTTTCCTCTTAAAGATGGTACCAAAGACGATGGTAGTTTTCAAACTAAAAAGCTTCCAAAATTCTACCATCATTTTCTTTTGAAAGCACACTGCAAGCTAAAAATAAGGCAAAAAAAAATACAAATAAAAATCAGTCTGACCGCTCTTGGAAGCAGCACAACTTTGCTCCACCTCTCCCTGGGTGGAACGCCGATCTGAGAAGACAAAGCATCCCAGCCGTTCCACAACAGAAGTACTTCTAACCAACTTCCTCACAACCATCACTCCGATTTTCATCAGAATTTCTATGTTGGCAAAAAAACCCTTCATCAGTTGTTGTTTTCTCTAACATGAAAACATCTTTAAACATCTGCAAAAGCTCAGTTTGAAAGAGATGATCTTTCTATGCCTTGCTTTTCAAGCTTCTTTAGTTTAAAAACTTAAGAAGTTCCCCATTCCTACACAGTCTGGAGCACATTTATAAAAGCTTTTGTTCTGCAGCCCAACTGGGCAACTGCATTAAGTAACCACAAAAATGACTGTTCTACTTTCATCAAACAATTAAAATAAATTAAGCAGTACCATATGAAAAGATGCAGTACTACATGCAATTTGGCAACAGGGCAAGACTGCACTGTAATCACCTTAAAAATGAGCAGAGCTGACTTTTCAAGGCAGTTTTCAAGTATATCAAGCAAAGTACTGATTTATTTTTTTTTAAAGAATACAAAAAGCATTTTCTGAGATTAAGGATCAGAGGATTAGTTGTAAGATTACAGCAAGAAAGCACATTTGAAAACTCAAAAAGATTAATAATTGATTGGGCAAATGAATTAGTGCAGAGCAAAATAATTTTAAATCAAGATCAAATTGACATGTCAGAAAATTCCCTCTATTTGACTTTGGGTATTTTAGGCATCCAAGGAAAAACAAATTTGGGTAGCAGGCAGTTTCTGCAGCAGAACTTGATCAAGCAGGCAGCCACCATTTACAGTTCAGTTTGTGATTCTACCAAAGCAGTGAAAAATGGAGCATCTGCATGAGATTTTTAAACATATGCTACGAGCAAAAAGGCTGAAAGAATTGTCTTTTCAGTAGTCAGATGAGCCCAATTTGAGACATACGTTACTGTGGGTATTCAATCTGTGTGTATCCAAATGCACATACATGTGAAAATCAGATATCTCTTCAGACTTACTGTACAAGTCGAGTATGCAACTACAGTCACAAATGGATAACTTAAACATTTTTACAGGGAGTTGGTTTAAGCTTGAACAAGAAAAGCTGCAAACTCTTTCAGTCAATGACTGGTACAGCTTTTTTGGCGAGCATTAATACTACAATTACAGCATAAGTATTTTAATTGGAAGTTTATTTCTACCCAATTTTCCTACCAAGCTGCATGAAGTAACAGCCTTCATATTCCCTTAGTTCAGCCCCTTTCTATAGGACATTAAAAAGCCTTTGGGCATTGAAGTCTAGCTGCCCAAGTAACTCAGAACCAGATGACTTTATTACACCACAGTACTGCCAGATAAGTACCCTGCGTGGATTCTAGGGCTACCCAATTAGCTAACAGTGGGGATCAGTCTGCTCTTCTTAGCTCTTTACCTTATGCAGTGCTCATTTCTCACTTTGAATTCGTCCATCTATTTGCACTAACTACACAAAGTAACTGATCTCACTAAAAACGCTCCCTCACGCCTCTTCCTTTTAAAAGAAGAGGGAAGGAAAGCCTTTTAATTTTTACCAAAAGCTGATTGAGCCTCACAGTTGATTAGCTGGTGTGCAAGCACAGTGGCAGCAAACTTGCTTCTACGGCTCTGGGTCTCAATTTCTGAGAAACTGCACACTCGTATTCTTGCTGCATTCTTAAGTTACCTCTAGGTAAATGCTGAGGAAACATTCTCAGGCTCATCATACCCATATTCACCCAGATGTTTGACTGCTGCGTTCGCGTGGCAGGCTGCTGTCTCAGAAAGAGCAGATAGCGAGGAAATAACTCCAGTTCAGGCACATCTGTCTTGCTGTTTTTGATCACCTAGGGAAGACGTTTAAAATACATTTCAGAGATACTTGTATCAGAAGCGTAGGGAGTCCTGTAAGGAGCAGCAAGCAACAATTAAAGCACTGGGATAGATAAAAAAAATTAATGTTTTACTTAGGGGCAAGAAGTCTTTTGAATTTCTTCCTGAAGTCTTATGCAAATATCCACTGCAATAAAAATGTACTCATTTCTGTGCACTTTCTGAAGCTTTTTAGTTTCAGACTATCAAAAGCAAGCATCCTGCTTAAAGGAAACAGAGCCTCCTGCACAACGCTATGGAAAGAACATTCCTGGAAATTCATGAAATACATTTGAATTTACATTGAAACTCATTATACTCAGTCATTATACTTCAATATAAAAGGTTCACAGCTATTAAAAAAAAACATATCCACACATTTCTTCTGTTTTCAAATACAGTATGAAATTCAAGTCTTTGCATTGTAAGAGTACACCAAAATTAACTTGTGTTTTGATATGCTGACAGAAAAAGCTGAAATTTCCCTGGAACATAACTTGCAGCTTTTCAGCCAACATTCCTACAAAGAAGTTGCTATCTAGAGCTGCCCAAGTGGAGATGTACATGAACGGCAGGACTTTTGTGAACAGGAGAATCAGAAGAAAACACTCAGCATAAATCATGAGTAGCAATACAATGCACTTAACTGCCATGGCATTAAACCTCAGCTACAACAAAAACCAGGGTGCTGACATTTTCTGGAAAGCTGCAGCAATCAGACCCTGATGTGGGGTGGGAGTCTGAGCAGTGCCTGCACACACGTAACCAAAGGGTCCCATCATCTCAAGTGCTCAGATAAATATTCTGACAGTTAGCTAATTATGGTCTGCAAATCTGAGGCTTACACATATACACTATTTATATTTGCACAAAGAGGGTATCTAAACTTAAATTCTTTCATTTGGAATGGAAGCCTCTTTTCTTTTGGCATTATCACAAAAATCTCAAGCATATTAGTTCTGTACTGTGATAAAGCGATATGGCCTTTCCTGGATTATGAAATGTGTTTGTTTCTATGGAGAATGTGTGGGAGGAGGTTAACAGAAGCCAGTGATTTTTCACTGTAAAAATCACTGTCAATACTATGTCTAACTGATCAAATCCTCAAAGAATCATACAGCAAATTTTCCCCATTTCCAACACCGAACATAAAACTAATTTTAAAAAAAGTGCAGCTTCAAACCTGCTTGAAATCAAAACATTAAAAAAATAAAAGAGGCCTGTCTTATATAAACTTATTCATCTACAGGCTACAAAATGTTTCACAACTTATTAAAAAAATTTACATACAGGCAGACCATCAATTCCAAAATTTCTGCTCACCACAAGGTGAATTACATTGAAGAATGCTAAACCAATCAGGGATCTACCAAACATTCCCTCATGTAAGAGGTTTAATCTTTAATTAAGGACACTGCATCTTTAACACAAAATCTCACAATGAGTTCAAGAAGCTGATTTCAGTTGTTTAAGTTTTGTTGGTCTTTTTCTTCCCTCTTATCAAGAAAGTTTTCATACCTTTCTCTGTTTTAGCCAACATGACCAGTGATCAGCTGTGCAGTACTTCTGCACTGCTGCAATACATTTTCTGGGGAATGTCCTACAAATCTCCAGGTTTTCTGACCACATTCATTTCTAAGACTGTTTATTTCCCCAACTTGCTCTTCAAGATTTTTCATTGTCTACGAATTTTCAGATGAAGTAGAAACTGATTGTAAGAGATTGCTTTGTGGAAATGGTAAAACTCAGTAGATGTCACACATTATTTAAGGGGTTATGGCAAGTTAATTGTTGATAATCACAACTCACCGGCCTGGGCAGGGACAGGTTTGCTCCATACCAGTGGTAAAGTGCTCTCCAAACTGGTTCTGGGACCATGACATAGTCCCTTCCTTCCACCAGCTGCGGCGATCGCTTTAATCTTCCACCCTCCATTGTTAACGATGCAGCCTTTTGAACAAAAAGGGATTTTATCAAATCTCAAGTGCAAAAACTAGCACACAGCTACAACAATTTCAGCTTGTGAACAATTAAAATAATATTAAGCTGCAATTAGCATCTGTTTTTCATAGTAAGATAGAACGTAAATATACCAATAAGTTTCACTGGTCACTATTTCACTAAAGACTGCCCATTCTAAAAGCCATCTTTTGTGTCACCTATTCTGACAGCTTCAAGTATAGTGAAAACTGTTGGCTTTTTGTTTTTGTTTTCATGCAACAGAAGATGTTTTTACCTTCACTGGTTCTTGTGTTACAAGAGGTTGGTTATCAATAGCTCCTGGTTTCTGAGGATTGAGCTGGAGCAAAGTATTCCCATTGGTTCCAAGGAAACACTGATTATTATTGTCCGAAGTGTTATGCTGCCTAGCAAAACACACATCCGTCCCTGGTGTGCTGGGATAAAGAGCATCTGCAGCAGAGCATGAAAAACACATTCCCTATTTCATTTAGTGACTCCTTAAAACAACAATGCATCAACTAAACTGATCTTCACATACTGTTTTTGTATATATTTTAAAAGATAACTGAAGATCTCTATTCTTCAAACTCCAGTACACAACTCAAATTTCATAGCAGAAGCAAATAAATTCGCGGTCTCAGAAAAGGTAAACAAGGGACTACATGCAATCTACTCTTGAGATACTAACAGAAACAGCCCAAATAGGTTCACATGGGCAAACGTGTTTTGCATTTGTGCTTATTCTCTGATGTTTGAATATCAAACGCTTGAAATTCTTATATACAAAACTGAAAATATATGCACTAATGTTTCTGTTGTTTGTTTTATTTTTTTCTCCTTGCTACTACTGCAACCTAGACTTGTATCTTTTTGTCTGGAGGAATCCATGCAGCATCTAGGTTCTCAGAACTTTTTCTATATTAAACCTCCAAGGAAATAAGATGTTATGCTTACTGCTGCTAGTAGACTCTGAGGCTTCTGATGCAGTAGAAATATTATCTGAAAACTTTTCTTCTGTTGCACTGAAGTAATTAAGACCTCCCATTTTGTCTTCTCCCTGTTCTGAAGTATTGGCTGCAGCAGCTATGAGTGAATTCTTACCTCCACTCAAGACAGATGAAGGCTCTATCACAACAGGGTTTGCATCCTAAAATTGACAAGCAAGTGGAAAAGTTATTTATAAGCCAGTATCAAAGACTTAACAACAGTGAAACCGACTGCCAGAATTCACAGTTATGAAAACACTTTTACACACTGTAATGAACTTCAGAGACAAAGAAACTTACCACAACTACAGATGTAAGAGAAAAAAAATGCCAGAATAGTTAAATCAATGGAATATTCTTCTACACAACATAAATGTTGTGAAATAGCAGAATTATTTTCTCTAACCAGATGTATAATGACAACCATTTTAGACAGCTGTAATTACAGACTCTTAATATCTGAGGATTTGTCCCTACTGAATTTCACATGGTGAAACAAGGACAGCACATCCAAGAACAAAACAAAACACGCTCTCTCTTCAAACCTGCTAACAAGCCTTCCCTAACTTCCTGTTTTGATCAGCCAAACACCAGAACTCTGCACTAAAGCTGGAAGTATGAAAAAGAGACTAAAATGTGCATTGGAATGACAGCAATAATTTATAGTTCCACAGAACTTGAGTATTTACTTTGCTCAAGAAGTAAAGACACAGCGACTAATGGCATTCTACTATTATGTAAAGTATTAGCTATGAAGTTACACATCCATCTGAGTACTTCTACCATGATAAGGATCAAATTACCCAGCATTTCCAGCACTGAAGCCATCATTTGTCCAATTCATTGTGCACAATGAATAACTGTAATTACATCATTAGTTAATGCAGGCGTTGCAATTTTCTGAACCTTTTTTGTTATTTGAATTTATGAAAATTCAGGTATGTATGTGATAAGTTATAGCTATGTACATTTATTCTGATAAGTTGTTTATTTCCCTTATTCTGTATTCTTGGTTGTCACCTTTAAAGAATACTTATCTCCATCTTAATTAAATTTTATTAAGCATGATTTCTTCTGCATGCAAATCAAATTGACGTGCATGCTTTATGTCAAATATTTCAGTTGAAGGACTTTAAATTGCACCACATTACACAAGGCTTTAGCAGGACTCCTTTGATCACGATTAGGTGTTGAACTAATTTTCATGATAGTCTTTAAGGCAAATGAAATCACTTTCTTCCTTTATCTGCCCAGAGTACACACAGCATGAATTTATGGCATAAGAGCCATCCCACATTCCTAAAGCGTGAAGTCAAAACCAAACAATGTACTTTTATTATTGAGTGGTTCCACAGACTTCAAGGAAGTACTTCTGTGAGAGTATGCTTTTATTTCCAAGATCAGGACTGAGGAAATCAAACTGAAAGAGGTGTCATCTGAATGAAAAGCCCGCAGTGTAACAATGATTCAGTAAAACAATTATTTTCCACTATGAAACAGGGGATACTTAATTTCAAGCATTGGTGGTTGAGCAGCCACTTGCTCTCTGTTCTTTATCACTTATTCATTTCACATTACTCTTCTACTTACATATTTGACATATTCTTTCCACTGGTGCCACCACGGCATTGCAATAAGAAACCAGTTGTGCCCTGGCTGAAGGCCATATCTGCTTTCCCTTTCTAGCCAGCCTCTGCAAACAACAAACAGCACGGAGTATTAACTGAAAAGGGGAAGTTGCAACCCTTCTTTTGATAGTATTAAAAGATGACTTTGAAATATATTTAGAACTGAGAGCAAAGCACACACCTAATGATCTGTCCTTCCTCTTCTGGAGTGGCAGGTCGCAGCCCCAAAACTATATGACATACCTGGAAAAGGAAAAGTAATTTTTAAGAATTGCATCAATGTGAAACAAACGTTAGGTGAGTGAAAGAAAAGAATAACTTATAAAGAATTTTTAAAAGTCTCATTAGTCTATGTAGCAACATTACCTACAATCAAACAAGTCACCAAACAAGAAATATTTGGAGTTACCGTATTTGCCACCTGCTCTCACTGTAAAGACAATAAAGTACCACAGAAAATTTGGTCAAAGCTGCTCTTGAACAACCTTTGCTTTCCTCTCTCTTTTAAAGGGAAAACAGCACGCAAAATAATAATGAAAGAACATACAGAAGAAAAAAAAAAGCACAAGCTCTTGATAGTCCCTGTTTTGAGTGGGCATTGCTATGTGTGCAGGACAGCACTCCCAGATGTTACTAAGCATCCCGGCCTTGGCAGCCACCAAGTCCCCAGCAGCTCTGGCCCAGCAGCTCCCAGCCACAGGGCATGCAGTGGGGAGTAACAAGCAGGGAAACACTCTGCAGGAGTCTTTGCTTCCCACCACAGGGAGGAGGGTCAGCTGTCTTGTCTCTAAGACATTTGTCAAATTGGTTGCTACTCATAACATGATTTATAGTCTTTTCCTTACATCTCTTTTGAGGTTACTAATTTGCATCTCAGCTGGAGCCTTCTAATGACTGGGGAGATATCTTACTTAAATTTATGTTACAGTGTGAGGGACCATTTTACATTCTGAATAAAACAAAAGCCATTAGCTGCTGGGAAGCAACAGATTTTCCAGCACACACAACACAGCTGGCTCCAATGTTTCCTTTTAAGTCATGTTACACTGTGCTAGTATCAGATTTTTCACATAAACCACCCTGCAAACAAACCAAAAAAAAGCTTTCCAAGGCACTCCATTCAGACTACTTAGCTTTTCTGTCTGCAGATGAGATGCAGAAGCTCATGACAGTTTAAATACAAGCCCAGACAAATCAATGGCAGACCCTGTCCTGTGTGAGCATGCTTTTGAGCTTGAAGCCTGAAATGAGGGTGCCCCATGTCAGAAAGGGATCAAGGGAAATGAAACATCTAAAATGAACATGTTATAACTGCTAGAAGAAAAAGTAAAACAGAGCTTAATGCAACAGACAAACCTGTAAGCATGCTGACACAAACACTGGTGCTGCAACTCACAGCTGTGCAAAAAGCTGATGAGCCAACTACCACACATTACATCTTTAAATTTTCTTAAACATACCTGAAAAAGTAGATTTAAAAACTCATTGGCAAGAGCACTCTTCACACTCCATATCTGGTAGTCCTCCAGAGTGAGGTGTCCAAGCTTAGTTAAAAGAGGAATGGGAGAAAGGAATGAAGAACCAAACTATTAACCTGACTATTTAATAGAAGTACAATTAAAAAGCTCATTAAATGTGTCACGCAAGGCATGACAAAATTAGTAGTTGAGAAAAATTAGCATCTACCATTCATAATAAAGCTGGATCCAATAAAATGAGAAAAATCCAGTTCCAATATAACAAGCAACCCAGAGAACCAAAAAGCTTGAAGGTTACACATCAAACTACACACAGCATGCAACCTTTGCTCCTGCTCTGTACCATCCAGAACACTACTTTCTCCAGCCACTACAGCAGCAGGGGCAGCGTGTGGCTGCTCAGATACTTGGAATCTGCAGAAGGCTGCTGTCTTCCCTGAGGGCTGGGAAAAACAATTTTGGATAAAACCCTCATGATCTTAATGTACAATATGGCATATTAGTTCTGAATCATTTGCAAAGTTACACTAGCACAACACTGACCAACATCAGAATCAATTAATTTCTGATTGTCAATTATTCAGTGATAAAAGCAATTGTGATTTCTCAGTATAGCCCACAGTCACTTTCAGAGCACTGGCAGTTTGCTCACCTCCTCTCACAGATCATTTGCTCTGAAGTTCAGAGGTCAAAGCTGACGTATGAGAACAGGTTATGCAATTTACATAATTAATGCCTCACCAACTCTTCCCAGCACTACATCCATGATGCACTTATGAAAGATATTCCAAAGACACTTTTTTTTTTTTTTTTTTAACTCTATGGAGATAAGGCTGCTCTTATAAACACTTCATTAAAAGACCAAACAAAAGCCTCAAAGCATGAGAAGATGGAGCTCAGTGAAGCCTTATTTCCTATTGCTCTAGCAGTAACTGAACTCTAATAAAATATTTGCCTACCGCTTTGTAAAGTACAAGCGGTCAAGAGAACTATTCAAACAAGTAACTAAGAATTGTTTAGAGCCTTTCTTACACTACTCACAATTTGCACTTCCTCTTATAATTAGCGAAGCAAAGAATGAAACAATGGAAACAACTGTCACAATATTGTTTGCAGATAACGGTGCCCATTGCAAAAAGCAAGAACATAATTAAAGATTTACTCACAATTAACTACAAAGCACAATAGAAACTATTAAGATTTGTTGTTCTGTCATGACAGTGGCCTCCATGGTTCCACAGACACTTAGCTCTCCAACAGTAATACTGTGCTGTTTGTATTCACTGATTGCATATGATGTCATTTGCCAAAAAAATTTGTAATAACACCAGAGTTACTTTTGAATCAATGCAGTTCTGTTCCAGTACAGGAGAATAATGTATCTTTTTACAGAGCAAAAAAGATGAAATTCACCACTGCACTACATCTTTCTTCTCCAGATCACTTGAACATGAAAGAAACAACCAGCATTCTTCACAAGAAGTAAGCCATCAGATTTAAAAGTGGTATTAATTACATCTAATAAAGCCTTATAAACAGCGTATGCTTCAAATTAATTTTATTTGGTTATGCCTTTTTGGTTTAACTTCGTATATAATGGCTTATAAATTCAAACATTACTTTGCAACAGAACAATGTGGAAAACTGACATTTCACGTAAGATTATTTTATTGACACCTCTGCTTCAAGGAAAGCACACAACTATTTCATTTATTAATTTATGTACACAAATTGAAGATACTAATAGAATTGATAGAAATGACAGGAAAATAGCAAATTCCTACCTTTGTGTTGTCATGCATATTCAAAATATCTTCCACAATTTCAGACAAATCCATGTCCAACTCCTTGGCACACAAAAGGATTAGAAAAAAGATTCACATTCTCAAAGCACTCTCTGGAGCAGTGTGTGTTCAGAATAAAGATGCAACTATCAGAAGGCTGACGATAGCACTACGTAGTTCACAACTGAGTGCTTCCAGGCAATTGTACTTTTGTACCTGAGGCTCCTTCATATGAAGCAGCATGCATTACAGCCATGGCAGTACTTTGGTTTACAGCAGGGCAAAGTTATATTATCAATAGTTCTCAGTTAAGACAGTTTAATAGTTGTTTTATTTCACTGAAACTATGATCAAACAAGATTGACATCTGAAACAGGAATATTACTCCTACTTTTGAAAGATGATTTTAGGAAACAGAAGCAAGTGAGCAAGAAAATACATACATATAACTTACAGGTATTTTATCAGTACGGTTATCTTTCCAGACCTCTAAAAGTGCAACCACCATTTCTTTAAGCTCTGTGCGAGACAGCACACCATCCCGGTCAATGTCAAAAACCTTGAAGCAAACTGGGGGAAAAAAAAAAAAAAAGGAAATGACTTTTGTGCATCAGAACCACTCAACTTTTCTCTTTTCCCTTGCAGAATGCAAGTCTGCAGAGTCACAAGAACATTATTTAGTGCTGACAGTTTTGATGAGGCAGGATGCATGTGGTAGTGAGGAAATGGAGCAGCTGTGTTTAATAAACTGTAATCTAGATTCCTGCAATTTTGTGCTGTGTTTTCTGATGTGACTTAGCAGGGAACATATGTGCATACAGAAATCCCCAGTAAATGCCTTTAAGTTCCAGCAATATGGCTTTGGTGAAGTATGGAAGGAAGGCTCTCCCAAAGCAGAACACCTTGCAGAAAAGAAGCCAGCTGAAAGCTGACAGCAGACAGGACAACACACACAGCTACAGAACAGTGCAACGTAACTTGCAAAGTATCAGGTATGGAAGTACACAGAGCTCAGTTTTATCACGCTTCAAAAAGGGAAGTCTTCCTACTTAAAACTTCATTTTACTTTTTAACTTCTGAACACACTCAAGTAGAACAAATTTCTAAGGTGAAAACAACTAAGCGTACTTGCTCAAACTGACAAAGTTCTCTAGAATTAATAGTTAATACTTTGCATACTTACACTTCTGCCTTTCTGCCAGGGGTCCCCTGCAACATGCTGAGAGCCCACAGGAAATTTCTTTAAAATCTATGTGATTGTCTCGGTTTTCATCAAAGGCATTAAACAAACCTGCAAACAACAAAGCATCTGTTGTAGCACCTGACTGAAACAGCTGACAACAGCATCTATGTGAATTGTAACAGCTCACACAGCAAGGACAAACATTCGTAATTTTAACTGATTTTTAATAAAGTGTATTAAAGAACAGCAGCCAGAAGTACTGCTTCCATTTGTCATTCTACGTTTCACAACGAATGCAGATTCTCAGGCATTGTTTCTTATTTCCAACATTCACAAGTCAGTGAACTGAATTTAAGCTTAAAATATTTTAAAAAACAGCAAAACCACAATCCCATTTCTGAAGCACTAAAATCTGTATGTCAGGAGGCCATCAGGGCCCCAACAGCACAGCACACTGTTTCCTCGCATGCTCTGTCACAGTTCCATACCTTCACTCAGAGATGGATGAATAGGAGGGGAAACCAAGGGAGCAAATGTTTCTAAATCAAAGCGTCCAGTTCTTGATTGAGCTTTTAGCAGCCAGTATCGCTTCTCAAGATCAATGATGTCAGATTCTTCCACTGTATAAGCAACACAAAGAAAAGGAGATCTACCAACATCTGGACCACGTTAGAACTGGGCACTAAATATGATTACAGCACTATTTTGTCACAAAGAGAATGGTGCTTTTTTTTTTTGTTTTATTCATGCATATAAATAATAAAGATACAAGCTATAAAGTTCTGTTATTACCTGGTTTACCTACAGAATAATTTCAGCTATTTAATGTCAAGGATCATGAGGTCTGCAAGTGATGAGTGTTTAGACGTACAGAAATGAACACTCTACAAAAGGCTCCAGCAATCTCTTCATTTTCACATATTCTCAATGAATTGAACACGCAGGATATATGACAATGCCGTCTTTCAAAACCAGCCAATATTTACATGCTCTAAAATGGATGTAAAGCAGCACTAAGAAAAAAAAAAAAGCAACCAGAACTCTTACAAAAAAAAAATCCCTTGGTGCCCTTGAAAAATCCCTATATGAAAGTTTGGGCCTACTTATACAGCAGTAAGGCTGAATTTCGATGCGACATTCACACACTGCTCCAGCATTATTTCCAAACAAGTATTTTATTTTACTCTGTTGTTTTTATCAGAGACGCACCCAGAAATCTGGTCAACACTGCAGAGGGATTACATAAACCCCACAGTGACTTTATACCAAGGAACTCACAATCTGATGTAAAGAAAGGGAAAAGGAAAGAGACTGAGTAAAGAGGTGTTAGGCAAAGGTGAATAGAAATAGGCACAGGGAGAAGCTGAGTTTTCTTTCAATTCGTATACAAAGGTTAATTTCTTTAAGTTTTACAGATCAGCTGTAGTTTTACCCTTCAAATCAATATCATTTATATATAAATACATATATATTTAAATTTCTGCTCAACAATACTTTTAGCCTTTTTCACATATGCAAGTGTGTCACAGCACCGCTTCAGGTCAGTGCAAATTAATTGGTTCTCTAATAGATATGTAATGACAAAGCTGTCTATATTAAGAACCACTACGTGTGATCCCATTCCCAGATGGTTCTGAGCCTTTAAATCCATGCCAGCTTTCTAATAGGTTTAACTTGAGCTATTTGGCCTGGTTTAGTCTACAGAAACAATAATAATCCTGTAAAGCTTAAGAAAAGACCAAAAAAGTCACATGTCAAGTTAAAATAGTATTGATTTTTCCTATTTATGTCATTTACAGCAGCAATTTATTCCAAATACTAGCTTAGGTAACACAAGCATGATCTGCAGCTACCCAACAGGCAGGGGGCATTATGCAACACAAAGCATACATCACCATACCCTCACCAGAACAAAGTTTGGAAATTGTTCAAATAAAATAAAAGATTAACACCTGAAGTCAGGCTCAAGGAGCAGGAAAGGTTTGGATCTCTCTGTGCTTTTATGCAGCAACTAGAAAAGCAACTTCAGTGAAAATAAGCCCTCCTCCTATGCACATTCAGCACAGGCATGAAACAGATGAGATGCTGATGTGCAGAACATCCACACAAAAGCTGCAGCTTGAGGGTCACGTATTTCTCATGTAACTCCAACTCACCTTCCTCTTAGTGCCAGGCACACTGCAGCATCCTCACTTGCACCACTATCAGCTACTGTGCATTTACATCATAAGTGAGATAAGAGAACTGATCCTGCAGAAAAACTGATTTATTTCTTCTCTCCTCCTCCTTCCCAGCTGGATCAGTTCCCTTATCTGGACTGTCATCTGCTGGCTCTTGGTTATGTTGGAATACATATGGAAACACTAATATACACATACAAAGGAATTTGATTATAGAATTCAAGGAGTGACAGGACAGTTACTTCTTTGAAAATCAGCATATAGAAACATCAGATGCTTAAGACAGTGCCACAGATGCAGGCAGCTCCATGGGCCTAAGTGGAACAGCCAAGACGGATGGCAGGCAGCTGGAACGTGCCATGAAACACAGCAGTGCTGTGCTGTGATGGCCCAGTGACTCTCCTGTCTCACTCTGGGCAGCAACAGGTGAGAAAGAGTCTGCCAGATAAAATACACTTTCCCTCAATCTCACTGCCTCCACAGGGATCAGCGTGCTACCACACTGAAAGAGCCTGCATGGAGTCATAGAAGAGCTGCAGTATCAGCACTCTGCAGGAGGTGCAAAAAGGCATATTTGTGGAGTTTCAAGAACAGAAATAATCAAAAATTAAAATAACCAACAAAAAGTGAAAGCAACTTCATGAGACAGAATCTTAAATACAGCAAGATTCTCTGAACTGCTAGGCACCAAACAAGGGCAGAACCTGAAGGGGCAGGACAGCCAGGAGGGACTGTGCTGGGGGAAAACAGTGACAGGACACAGGAAAGAGCTTTACAGCAAAGAGCCAAATGTCTCAGAAAGTGATACTGACAGGAGGACAAAGGAGCATTCTTTGTGCTGAACAGAGCTACATGACTCAGACTGACTAGGAGTAAAAATGTAACAATATTTTTATCTCAGGGTAACAAGAATTGTAGGCCTATCCTGCTTGCCTAAAACAGACTTACTGGATTATAGCACATGTAAATGTTTAAGTCTGAAGAGCAGAAGCCAGCTGTCAGCTAATTTCTTCAGTGGTTTTTTTTTGCACATAATGTCACAAATTAATCCCAGCATACGCAATGCACCATACACCATACATTCCTCATTACACCTAACGAGGAATCCTGTGCCACTTAGGATATATACATACAATCATGTTTGATACTGAAGTTTAAATGAAGCGTGATAAGGACTACTTACCACCCTAATGTTTATGTACTTACAATGATGTGTATGAAAAAATGCCATCTTCCTTGCAATAGGCTTTGCATTAAGTATTTTAACTTCTCAAAGCATAAATTTCTGTTTCTAATGCCTGTACAAACCAAGTCAGGAGGTGCAAAGCAGACTTTCATTTAGTGAGTCAAAACGTAAATGTTAAATAGGTAACATTTAATCTTCTAAATATAATATATTCCAAAACATAAGAACAGAATTGCTTCTTAGGCAAATACTCATTTGTGTCAATTAAAGATACGTAATTATTCGAGGTAACACACATTAGGCACCTGTGAAATTTAAGCATAGATGACCATGTGATGGTGACATTTCATTTTCCTCTTGCCATTTCTCTATTAAAACATGGAAAATTCCCAGATCCGTAGGATCAAGAATGGGGCTTTCTAGTTCAGCTCTGAAACTCACTGTCAGACAAGCACAAGCAGAGGGCCATGAGACAAGGGCCAGCACAGGTCTAACTGGAGCCCTCAAACAGCAAAGGAAGAACAGCTAAACTAATGCTTTTCAGCAAGAACTGCACACCTACAGAAAACAAGCCAATTTAAAACCAGCCACTACACATAGGCTGCAACATCAGCAATAAACACTAAAAAGAAAAGAAAGAAAGCACTCTTCATTTTAATTCCATTTCCATGAAACGTACTCCCTAAATATGACACAGGTAGCACAGCCGTGAATAATATTCTTAGGGAAAACAAAATTTAAGGTTTCATTACAGTTGGTTTTTTTTTGTTGTTGTTTGCTTTTTAAACAGCATCAGAATGAAAGACCCATCTGAATACGTTTTATGAAGGATTTAATTTTTACCTACCTAACGGCACAATCCTCTCTGGCTCACAGCAGCAGAAGCATACCATATTCTCAACATTTTACCTGAAACTCGGCTCGCTTCTCGGCTCACCATGACAGCCTGCAGGCAAAGCCCAGTCCCCAGGCACAGCGCTGCTCATCGCCACCCACCCAGGCCAGAGCCAAGGCTGCGTGGTGAACGGGCAGCACTCCTGTGTGAACGTGGCTGCTCACCACTTCCACAGTAACGCGTGGAAGATCCTGGGACGTGGGGCACAGAGAGCTGCTTTGCAAGACATAAAATAACCTGGGAACTAAGAGGATAACAAAGTGCAAGATGCAGCTTAAGTGACACTGAGGCTTCTTCTTATTGGCCTGCTCCACTGGAATTCCTTTTCTCCCCCCATCCTCTCCCCCTCCCTTTGCTTCTTTAATTAATATATATTTTTAAATTTTTTTATTAAAGGACACACAAAGAAGGGAATACTACAACTTCAACCAAGACATCACAGTGCATCAGATGCTACCAACCAGACATTCATCTAGCAGAATACAGTGTGTATCAGTACCTTAAGGATTTGAACACACATTGCAGAGACATAAAGCATGACACCTTGCCTCAAGGCACACAGTCACACACCCCCCAAAAAAAACCAACAGGAGAGAACAGAATGTATCCTAAAAACAACTTTAATACAATCTGAATTTTCAGAACCATCTTACACAGGAGCCTTCTGTGCATCATTAAGAGATGGTGTCCCAAGGGTGGGTGCCACAACTGAAGAAGCAGAAAAACACTTCCCAGCAGCCCAGTGAAGCAGTCGCCCCACTGTGCTGCACAGATCTGTGTGCATCATGAACTTCTCTGACAGAAGAGGTTACTTCCACAGCACTCTGCTTCAATTTAAGTTTCAAAAACTCGCTCCTGCTTTGCAGTCATGCCATCCAGTTATCCAGGACTTCTCTCATTATGTTAAATCAGCAATAACTACGTTCTAGAATATAGTCATTATACTGATTAAACGCTGTCATACTGAATCTCTGTGAGAGCCGTCACAAAAGCAAGGAGTTTTGATCAATTTTTCTGACAACAGAAGATGGTCCCTTCAGAAGAGTATTAGGATGTCAGTTAGCACAAACTGAGTGACACAAGAACAGGATGACAGAGAAGGACAAATTACACAGCCTATCACTACGCTACCTCTGTAAGTGAGACTATTCTCCTCATAGAAAAGGACAGAAAACCTGAGTACGCAGGCCAGCACAAGGATACACCAAACAGACACAGCTACAAAAAGGCAACACCACCTACGTTGCATCAGAAGAATTATGCCCACCCAGGCCATAAAACCTCACCTTTCCAGATGCCCCTGCTCCTCTGCATCCATCTGCTGAAGTGAGCAACAGAGCCCCACTGTGCATTTAGGATGGACACTCGCTAGGGCACCAGAACAACAGCTGGTGTATTGCTGAATTACTGTGTTTGGATTTCAGTGAACCAGAGGAGATGAGGTGTTTCATTTGCAATTATTAAGGATTTACAATGATTTGTAGGAAACTTTCTCCTGCAGAGAAATTCAGATTAGCAGCAGTTCCTGGCAGGACTGTCTTTGGTTTACATGTACCACTACAATGCTATTCAATATGATGATCAACTAAACAAAAACAAGAAGTATGCAATCACACCGAAAAACTGAGACAATCCAAAAGGGTGCCAGTTTGTCACTGCTTGCACAGAAGGGAGGCTCACAACCACTGCACTACTTGTGGGGAACAACGGTCCAAGAAAACTTTCAGTTATTTCAGTAACTTTTAAACAAAATGACTCATATTTTTGATTTAAGCGAAATGGAACAAAATTTGATTAAAAGCAGCAAGTGTGAGTAACTTCCTGTATCTCTGAAGTTTAATTTCCAATTATGCGTTGAGAAAAATAATTGAAGTCATCTGCATTCCAAAACAAATGTTATTTACAACTGAAAAATTAGAATTCCTTTGTTTCCCAAGAGCCTGGCTCATTAAACAAATGTAAATGGAGTCACTGGTGCCTTGCAGTACAATGCTCACTGTCAATTTCTAAATCAATGTTAATGTTCCCTGTTTTATTGTCCTGATTTTTCCCATCACATCAGTTGTTTAACAGAACATGCAGAGCTGGGCTCGAGCACAGCCCCAGCAGTGGGGATACACTGACACCACACCAGAGAGTTTCATTAATGAGTCTTCAGCTGAGAGCAGGAATTCCCAACGTGTGCTCTCTTATACATTCTGCTAACAGCATCTGCCTGAGTTTATCCAACATTCTTTCTGTTTCTTTTTCTCCCAAAGGACAATTATCCCCATCAGAAGAATTACAAACAAACCTGACTTCAGACAAAAGGAACTCTTATGCTCTACCCACTCAGCTAAGTTAAGATTACTTTCTTGTTCTTCAGATTGACTTAACTAGACTGTAAATGCTGAACTTAAAAGAAAAAAAAAAAAAAAAAAAAAAAAGCAAGGCCCCAGGTGTTCATATCTCATTCAGTGCAATTACTTTTAAGTGCACAAGCACTCAGATTATCCTTACTTTCACATCTGTTGTGAGATTCCTATACTGCCTCAAGTCTCAAGGGAAACCATTGGTCACAATGAAAAGCATTTGTTCAGGCTTTGGGAGGGCTGGGCAGTTCACCAGTTTGTCTTCTTACTATCTCCAAGTGCAGTCAGTTTCCCACATCTGTCCTCTGAACGATACCAAGCTGCAGCCACCTTAACAAGCCACAAATACACTGGTTTTTCTGTTAACAACATTTGTTGTAAGATAAAATTAAACTTTCTTGTAGTTCTGTTATTTAGCAGTCCAAACACACCCTGTAACGTGAGCTTTCCAGTCGAGGTCAAATATACTGAACCTGCAGACACCTCACAGTTGGAAACGTTTTACTGATTCAGTGCTAAGCGTAAGCTATGCTATTCCCCTGAACAAAATGAAAACCTTAATCCTAGATTCACTGTATACCTCAAGATCCAACAATTGTTTCAAACACTGACAAATACTTATTTTTATTTCAGCTTTTAATCCTGACAAGGGAAAACTTCTTGTTCACTTCCATCTTCATTGTGAGTACCCAAGAGCTTCTCCAAGTAAGCTGCCGGTGAAGAAGCACAACACTGCCAGCTGCTTCAACACACTGAATTTCTCAGTAGCCTGATCTACATAGCAACACTTTGTTGCTTTGTTTTCCCCTGAATGCAAGGGTTTGGGTCTTTTTCCCCACTAGAACATACACAGTGTTGGAACAGCCGGCACAGACCTGAAATTCTGTATTTTTCTCAAGGCTTTAAAGATGAAGTCGCTTCTCCAACAGATCACGAAGCCATACAAACTAGAACGCATAAAGGAGCAGCCATGCCTGCACATCTCCCAGATGAAAGAACACTAAGCACCCACAAACCTACACAATTCAGAAAGGTTTTTTTAATTATTATTCCCTTTTGTCCTATAGGGTTTTGGAGTGGTTTCCTGAAGCCTCCATGTCTATTGCAGTCTCTCTTGTAATGCAAATAAGTTATCTATCTATAAATTCTGGTTTTATTACGTACTTCCATTTTAGATGGTCAAAGCACAACCGTAATGCTCACACTTAAAAGCAAAAGAAAAAACTATACGTAATTTTATACAAATAATTCAACCACTGAAGAGAGAAACTGCCAGGCTCCACCTGAAGAAATCTGATTGCTTAAAGCACAAGCAGATTGTTCAAACCATTGATATCTCAAAAGCAAACACCTTTTCCCTAAGGGATATTAAGTCCCCAATAGTACTGCGCTGTGTGCTTACATTATACACGCACATCACATCTGATCTGCCAGCCTTTTGTTTTTACATTTCATCTGCAAAAACAGCTGCTCCTCCTTTTACATCAAGATGTAGACACAAGGAAGCATTTGCTCTCTGGAGATCATTCCTACATGCAGATCCTGAGGAGGCTTCTCTTTACTTCATTTAGTTCCCTGACTACATCATACGTCAGGAATATTTCTTATTTTACTGTAGAAAAACAGATTAGGAGGTCATATTTATTTTTGAAGCAAACATTATCATCAGAACTGTCTCAGCAGTTTCATGACACACCATATCTGGAAGAGCAAATAGCACACCTGTATTAATGTCAGGTCTCTTTAGACTGATATACTTAAGAATCAATGTTTAGATTGGATGGGGCCCTGGGCAGCCTGGCTAGCATTAAATGTGGAGGCTGATGGTCCTGCACGTGGCAGAGGGGTTGGAGATTTGTGATCCTTGAGGTCCCTTCCAACTGTGGCCATTCTGTGAAGAATTTTTTTTATTATTATTATTATTATTATTTTTTTAATTTTTAAATCGACCTCGTAGTCATCATCTTCCATAGGAAATGCTGTTGTTAAATGTTGCTCCCCCTTAAAAATAATGACCTGAGGTATCCTTTTCCATAACAACGTTTAATGCATCACAGCACCAAAAGCAAAGAACAAGTTAGCACAGACAAGCTGTGTATGCAGAACAGAACTAATCAGAGTAGTAAGATTTAACGAACAAGCAGCAAGGCTACAGTTTTTGATCTCTGAAATAGCTTTAAAAAGTGTGCAAATGAATCATCTTTTACTTACAGTGTGTGACTCCAGCCAGGGTTTGATAGAAGGTCGGAGTGTCACTGTCATCAGTGAGTGTCACATACACACCTCCAGACAGCAGCCAACGGGAAAACGTGAAAGCATCTTTGTTGTGCAACAGCCAAATCCTGAACTTCTCATAGTTTACCTTTTCACCCTATTAGAAAATAAGAAAACATGACTGTTTTTCTCTCCTTTCTCATTAATTGGTTCACCTGGTATTAAATGGGACCCTGCATGTGGCAGGGGGGTTGGAGATTCACGATCCTTGAGGTCCCTCCCAACCCAGGCCATTCTGTGATTAAACAGAAACCATCTAGCTGTAAGAACAATAATTTCCTATAAAAAGAAGCAATACGATTATTTTTTGGAGCCATGCCTGCTTTTCCATTTCATCCTGAAATACAGCACAGAGAAGGAAATTAGACTCCTCAGCTCTCCCTGCATTTCAGCCTCCTACTCAGCGTGGCCTTTGGAAAGTCATTTACTCTGCACCTCAGTTTATAGGAATTAGACAAAAAAAAAAAAAAAAAGATTCTTACAACTCATGAGAGCAGCAGTTACTTTTACAAATTTGAGCTTATTATGACAGATAAAAGCTCTTTTGTGCTGAATAGCTGATGCTAAAAAAAAATCATAAACATTCTGTTATATTTACGTGAGTATGCAAACACCTAAAACAAAAAGTTTAGGTTTGTGAATAACTAACAGCATTAAGAATCACTGCAGAAGTATTCAAAATTTATGCTTCTGTTGTCCAAAAACTACTTCATAGCATGTATGCAAATGTGACATTCATAATATCTCCTAACTCAAGTTTCTCTTGCTGGATGTCTTACAGAATTGGCTGTTCAGGAGTACATGAAAGCCATACATGCACACAATTTAAATGCACAAGAGGTTGTTTGAAACATTGAGCTGAACGGTGTTCAAGATGTGGCCATGAAATCACAGCTTAGCTTTGTAGGCAATGTAGAAATACTGAAAATAAAAGCAAGCTTACTATCAGCACACAAACTCATTATCTAGAGGTCCTAATGACTATGGGAAATAAACAAGAGTCTGCAAACTAAAAAGCATTTGAAGCCATTGACTGGCTAAACTTCCCTAATATCACAGACCATTAAACTTCACTGAATTACATTTCTAGGGAACGCAGCAACTTGCATTTGGCCATGGAGTAATGGCAGCTGCCAACTGCAGAAAATGGTTCATCACCACTGCTGCTAAATCATTTGCTTCGTATTCTAGTTGTAATGGATTATTCCAGATTCCAAACACTGATCTTCTCTGCCTCTTCTTTCTACATTAGTGTTACACTTTTTCTCCTATGAATACATGCAGACCAAATTGTCTTCTCAATCTCCTTTGAATCATTATCCAGAAGTCTGGATCAGACACATTATCATTTTCTCACTACCTCTTCCACTCTGCTTTCCTGCTACTTTTTTTCCTCGCAGCTTTCTGCAAATGGAAGAGGAGTTACGTGACATTTCGTAACGCTTTCACATCATTCTAATTGATTGGAGCAACAAGAAGGACAAAGGACAGCAAAGTTTTGGCAGAAAAACCACTTGAATCACTTCAGTTTTACAGATGAGCCATGGTGGAACTCAAGCAACCAGAGCAATGCAGATATCACTGCATTTGTTTCCTTCATTTTAGAAACAGAAATGAGGAAAAAGAGATAAACTTCAGAGTTCCTTGTTCTAGATGAGCACATACAACAATTCTGAAGGAAAGAATAAGAGCACCTTTCAACATCACCCTGGAAAATATAAACTCATCTGCCATATGGCAGGAAGGAAGGCCCACAACAGGAACATTAAACTTTCTCATTCTCCAGCAAAGACCTCGTATGATTAACAGGTCAGTAAATCCTGCTGAGTGGGTCATTACACTATTTTTCTTTTAAAAGATAATCAATATAGAGCATTTTCTTGAACAGGAAAATGGTATCAAAGCAGATTGATACTTCTCTGCCTGCAAGATATTTATAAATATATTATTTTATATATATTTCTTGGACAGTAAGCAATTAACTTGTAGGGTACAATTCATCATACCACACTGATGGGAAATTAAATATAGGAAACACTGAAGTGGGTCAGCTCCAGAAACTGGACTGCAGCATACATATGATTTATGATTCCAGTCAAGAATGAAGAATGCAATCACTGCCCACAAAGCCAACATGATACCATGCCAGATTAAACAAGTTTGCCTCAGCCAGTGCTGGCCACAAGCTTCACAGCACACTAAAGTTACCATAAACACAGAACACCATACAACGTAAGGTAATAAAGTAATCTGAAATCCACAATTTAAGCTCCTCAATCTAGCTTTTCAGTAGAATGTAGAACAACTAAATTTTACTGGTCTGTAATCCTCCAATACCAACAGAAACAAACAAATCAAACAAACCTGGCATTCTCTGGGAGAAAGAAGCAGTGTGAATATCTACAAGTCAATATAAGAAGCCTGTTTAAGATAGGAACTTCAGAAAGCTTCATGAAAATTACATTTCTCAAAGAATCTAATACATAAATACATGTTGTAGCTCCTGGTAGGCACAGTGAGACACAAGAACTATTCTAAAGCTGTATCTTTCAAAGCAGCAGACTAAGCAAAGCAGGATGGTGAACTCTTGCACGTACACACCAAGCTGCAACTTACATCAGTGTATATTACAAGATGAAGAACTTTTCTAATGTTTAAACAGAGTACTAGCATGTATATGGCAGAAAAACTGCACAATGCAATACTCACTTTTTTAATGCAATGAGATAAAACTTGTATTAAATACCTCAGAGAAACATTTCTTGAGAGACTCTGGGACTTTCCCATCAACAACATGCAGCATCTTCTCCATCTCATCACGAACCACATAACTCCCAGATTCATTAGAAAAGAGACTGAAAATGTCTGAGGAAGAAGAGAAGTGTTTAAGCAACTACTGCAGCCATACTTTTCAAATACCAGGTTTAGAGCTGGCTAAGAATGCCAAAAGCAATGCAACAACTAAATCACTGAAAACTTGCATTGATTCAATTCCAATGCAACTCAATAAGGTTTAGATTGAGAAATATTTCCTTTTTCTTTTATCAATGCCCATTAATACAAAGCAAAAGAGCGTATTCTATACACACTATCCTGTTGGTTTTTTGTTTGTTTTTAAGTTACATTACTTACATTTTGTTTTCTCCTCCTCTTTGCCTCTAGTGAGTAGAACTAATCCAACTATCAAGTTATTGAAGTGCAGCCCTTTAGATATTCCTCCAAATGAACAGTAGATAACCTAGGAGAATAAAGCAGAAGTTAAGCCACAAAGTTAAGAAAGCAAGAAGTTATAGCAGGGCTCTATTTTGCATGTTTTTTCCAGTTAATCACCTCATAGTCACCTAAACACTTTTAATATTAATTCTGAAACACCTTTGTAGATATTCCAGTTATAAAGTTGTCTTTTGAGGGTCTTTCAATTAGAGAAAGACACATTTTTCCTGAACAGAAGTATTTTTTAACAAGCTGCAATCCTGCAAAGAAGGATTCATTCACATATGCTATTTCTCTACTCTTCTTTATCAAGGTAATGAAGGTGGACTCTCCTCCAGATTGGGGTACAATAACCTCAGAACTACCAAGAGGTTGTTGGAGCAACAAGAGCTTCGTTACCCCATCAGTGGAGATGTGCTCTCAGTAAACCGCCAAAAATTGCTGACTTGTAAAGATGTGACAGGGAAAAAACCAGGCTTTTAACTTTTGTGTACTGCCCCTATTGCTGCAATGCCCACCCCAAGTCAGTACCCTATTCTGCTAACAGTGGGATTTACATCTGTTGTTGTACTGCTTTTCTAACTTGCACTCCTCCTTTGAATCCCAAAATACATTCCCACAGCACCAGTACCTCATTAGTATCACAAGAGAGATATCTACTTCACGTACAAGAAAACAATGCAGTCAGAACTTATACATTATTCTTATATAGGGGAGTTATTTCAGCACTTCTGTTTTTTTAGTATGATTTTCTTATAGGTATCACACAGGGCATCTAACCATAAGGACAAAGCATTAAGTGCAGCCAAAGGCAACTATTACTGTGAAAGGGCAGAACAAAGTGATTTGTCACCGATCGCAGCTTGGATAGCAGATTCATGTGCTGACCTTTAGTTTAAAGAAGTTATATTTAGAAAAAAAAAGAGAGGGAGAGAAAGGGCAAAATAAAGAAACTGAGCTCGATTTGATTTTATAAATCAAAGTATTATGTACATGTTAGATAGTGTTCGCTTTGCATTACACTGCAAATGAGCAACGTTACTAACAGCATGTGTACATGAAGTTATGCACTGTTTTCTCGTTCTTCTTCCATAAAAGCATATTCTTTGCATGACAACTTAGCCAAATAGCAATGGCAGAGTTCAAAGTTCCATGTTACTGTAGACAGAGCCACTACTCTGTGAATCACCGACAGAGCAGAGAGAATCATTTGAAAAACACTGGACAAAACCCACAGGTTGAGGACCTCTCACAAACAGAACTGAGATCATAAAGCTACTGGATGCTTCACTGACCACATCACTATAAATACTACATCTATTTTACAAAAAAAATCCAGGAATAATCCTAAGCCATAAATAAAATAAATTACCAACCGCATTTAAATACGATTAAATACGATTAGAATTTTTCTGTGCATGTTTCAAGTACTTTCCCTCTTCTGTCTCTCAGAATTGCAGCATTAACTCTGGTTTAACCCAGCACCTTTGCCTGCCCAGCAACTCCCACCCCCCTTCCTGTATCTATGCCAAATCAAGCATTCATGTAGCAGGCCTATGAATGAAATTAGGGAACAAATTTGGATTTGAAATAACCGTTTTTGTCATCAGGTTTCACTAATCCAGTTCACTCAGAGCAGTTGACCTCTAGGCAAGAATAAGCAGCTAGAATTAAGCTGACCATGAAACTGCTATGAAATAACTGCACAAATCACATTTCAAATACTACGAGAGAACATCGATACCCCACCATAACTGTGCAGGACATTCCGTGTCATCAAATGCCATCTATTATCAGTCATGCCTTTCAAAGGAGCCTGACAGCCCACTACAACCAAGTGCATTAAGGAGAAAAATCAATTCTTAACAGACTGAAATCCCTTTGCAAAACGTGAGTGCCATGTTTCCCAAAACAAGACCAACATTACTGTCTCACTCACTCAGGTTTATGTTCACAGGAAACAGTTTATCCAACCAAACAAAACCAGCCATGGGCTTGCCAAGGCTGCTGGGTAGGTCTGGCTAAGCTACAGTGCACTGTACCAGCAAACAGAAGCAAAGGAAACACCTAACACAGACCAGCTACTTTCTATTAACTACTTAACTGCCATTCTTACAACAAGGTACAGAAAAACCTACCACTGCTGTCTTTGCAGCAGTAGGAAGCAGACTAGCAGTTGCAGTGAGTGTTCTAGCCCACCTCCACAGAAACACTGGGCAACAAGGTGGTAGGAAGTTCCAAAATCTCATTCACTTCTATACCAAAGTTATTACCTGACATAATTCAGGTTATTACCAGACAGATTTCCTGAAGACACCTATGTCCAGACAGTTCTGCATGATACCTTTGGGAGATGCTCTCCTTGCCCACCTATCATGCCATCCATTGCTACGCACTCGAGACTACTGAAAGATGTCTGAAGGCAAGTTTAAATGAGCCTCACAGTATAGAAGGATCTCATTCTATCAGAGACATTACGTATAACTTGCAATTTCATTCTGCTGGGAGACATAGTGCTACCCAAACACATTAAAGTCCCACAGGATGCTCAGATCATCATCTGCTATTACCAAAGTTTAATGCATTTGCAAATGCTTGAGGGGATAAATTATTAGAACTAAATTTGTGCTCTATTTGGACCCAGCGTTATGGCAGAGATTTGAATTCCACCCTTCTACTTCTAATCATTCCGATTTCAAAAGATGCCTTCGAGGCTACACTGCATATGTAAGTAATTTACCTTTACATTACATTGGAGCTATTACTTTAAAAGAAAATGCACAGCTCTGCTGAATACTATAGTTTAAGTCTTAATATAGCTACTCCAGAGCCAGGAAAAACAAACAAGAAATCCACTTAGAGCATAAAAAGGGCCGTAATTCCTACATTATCATCAGATACAGAACACACTGGTACTGCATGAAAAATGGAAAGAAATTAAGTTTGGCTGCATATTTCTGTAGGCACACATTATCAACCACACACCTCCCCAGAGAAGCTTGCAGATTACCTCAGCAACTTTTGGAGGGACTCCATCACCAAGAACTTCCCTGATGAAGCACTGTTGGGTCATATAATACGAGAGTCCACAAGTTCTCTTAAAAGCATCTTTCAGTCGCTTTAGCTCTATGTCTGTAACTGTATTGGGTCAGAGGAGAAAAAAAGATTTGGTCAGCAACGTCATAGAAATGTAACAGCTTAAGGACTACCAAGAACCTGTCCACATTATGTTTACCATAAAATAAAAAGATCTGAAGAAATTAAATGCATCATTTTACCCAGGCAGTGGTAGATGATGAGATCCAATATTCTAATCTCAGCGAGAACTGAAAGTTAACAACAATTACAATCAGTTTGGCTGTCTAAATTTTCGTTGACTACAATAATGTATTGTAAGTTTGTTGTAAATTAAGTACCATTATCCTCATACAAAAGGAAAATTAAGTAGTATTATGATTGATTTCATGTTGCACACAAGCTAGAGAGATGAGCTGTAAACCAACAGCAGTGAGTATAATTGAGAGCAGCTCCAGCAGCACACTTCAAACAACCCCATCTCACAGCCAGCCTACTTTTCTGTAGAAAAAAAAAAACCATGGTCTCTATGTACTGGCTTATAAGACAGTGGAGCAAAACAAGAATTTAACAGCAAAGCTAGTTTGGACTAAAAGTAACTCTTCACCTAAGGTTATCCCACACAGTCAAAATCTCATTACCAGCTGAAATCTGTTCAAACTTTTCAGAAGCTTTACACGTGAGGAGTTTGAAAAGATCCCACACATACTTGCACATGACTGTTCTCAAAAGCAGCCCTGCCTTCCTATTTCACCAGTGTAAGGCATTTTTCTAACAATACGCTTAAGAAGCTCTGAACAAGGCACAGAACTGCCACAGTCCCACCAGCATCAAGTGACATCATGAAGTATCTCAATGAAGAGAACAAGTACTTTGTCAAAATCAAGCTGCAGAGCATAACAGTGTCCTGGATCTACAGCAAGTTCCCACGTAGTGCAGAAAGAGCTATTTACCATCCAGGCACCAAGGAACTGATGCTGTACGTGGCAGCTATTTCACTCTATTTACTGGAAGACGTCTTCCTTTCCTTGCTATCACCAGTCAGACAGAGCAACTCTGAATGGCCAAAAGCTTGTCAAGGTTTTTGTCAGCCAAAATAGAACACTTCAGAACTTAATCCAGCACTCTTTATTGCTTTTACATTTCAATTAATTCATCCAAAAAAATCATTCCTTGAAAAGCAAATCATGTCAAAACGTTCCCTCTGAATTTCAAACCTCATCAGCACTGAAGTAGCCTGGTGACTTTACAGCTGTGCCTAAGAGCAAAAATTGGGTCAGTTTCTTTTCAAATGTTATTATAGATTCTGGGGATATTTTTTTTTCTTTTTCTTTTTTAACCAGAAAAAGAATCCAGGGATCTCAGAAATACAACTGAAGTGGGATCCACACTACATTGGTGCTACCAATAAATAAGAATTTGGCTAAAGACATTCTCAAATTATTATCATTGTGTCTTATTTTAATAAGTGTAGACCAATTATAAGGGAAAAGAACGTTGAGATGCTGCTGCTACCCAGCACATATGGTGTTGAAATGCACTGTCATGCAGTGCTCAGAGTCCTGCAAGGGATGGGCTGGCAGGGATGGGCAGGGAGAAGCCAACCAGCACTGCTCACACCTTCAGAAAGAACTGTCAGTATGACATTAAGTAGCTGATAAGATGATACTGCCAGTCTATGTCATGTTTCAAATGTAAATTACTAGCACTGGAGATGACAATGTTATTGTTTGCATACAGAAACTACAAAACAGGTCATGGAATTGCAGAAAAGATGATCATTTCCCTTCCCTCCCCAGGACACACTGAAGTGACTGAAGCAGGCCACTTCAAATCATCTGCAAAGCTCCACAAAAATAAATTCATTATACATTTAGATCAAAGCACATGAAAGTACTACTGAAATGAGTAGAGAAATAAAAGATATTATCAGTGTTTAAGTCAGGAAGTCATAAAATATTTGAATACAAAATCCCAACAAAAAACATCTATTTGACACAGACGTAGCGCGTGATGAGAAGAAATAAGTCCCAAATTAGCCAAGAACTACTCCCAGAAGCAGTACATTCATTACAGAGATAAAAGTGAGCACACCCTCACGCCCACAAGCTACTGCTTCTCAGTCGCACAAATCCTACGCTGAACAGGCAGCCCAACTGAGGTCAGAGGTGTTCCTTACGCAAATAAAGATATTAGTAAGAGGTCAATGTCAAACACTGCCCTCAGCTTCCAAGCAGCAGCCTTGAGCAGCACTTCCCTGGATTTATTGGAGCTCTTTTTTGTCTCTACAGCACCCACAAAGCCCATCCCACACTGCTTTCCCTACACACGCACAGACGCTGCGCTCGCAGACACTGCTGCTGCATTCACAACCTGTGAAAAACAGCACACCTAAGACTTCCCAAAATAAGCTTGTGATAGTCAACACAGCAACACATCTTGTCATTCCTACCAGTAACAGGTGGCAGAACCTCAATCTCATTGCAGAGAAAGCCATGCAGCTATTAACTGCAACCACGTGCCTGCTTCTACACATCTCAAGACTACAGAAGCCACCTTCTTATTGTAAGGATCCAATTCCAAATAATAAAAGCAAGTTTCAGTAGTTACATACTGAATTCTAATTCTTACAATTGTATCTGAGTCAGCCTGCTGCCACATCACATCCCTGAAACAAGATGTCTTTTCCACCAAAGGAAAGGTCACAGGCTGTGCCTTTCTGTCCAGGCCACCTTACTAGGCAGCGCAAACCCCCAGAGCACTACCTTGGCTGGACGCCTTCCAGCAACACTGCAGACAGTTTAACAGAAGATTAGTGCAGCATCCAACCCCCCAGGGAATACTGGAGCTCCAGTTTGTTTAATAAAGTATAAATGAAACCATGCAACCTCAGCTAAAAGTGTCACAGCAACTTAGAGTAATTGTAACAAACCTCCAGCTCACCCAATTGCCAAGGTTATTTTTAGTTTAATAACGTTATTTAAACTTAATGCTGTTTATATGGATTTACGATCCTAGTGTTATTTTTTTAACTAACAGCAGCCCAGCTGTTATATGGCACCAGGGTTATATGGCACCTTCCAAAACCAACCACATCATTACACAGCTCTGTGCTGGAAGCCACCCTCTCTCTCTCTGCTGCTTTCACTCTAGGTGCCTATCAGTCAGTTCTCATCCCAGAGCTTTCCTTTCAGAACAAAGCCCTACCCACAGTTTAAACCACTCATGCCTAAGTGCCCAGCCCTGGACTTAAAGCTCCTTGCTGGTTCCTTGCCTAGCCTGGAAGCACAGCTAGAAAATATCGTTAACTTGAGGTCAATTCCTCACAAGCAGAAGTGCCTGCCCTACCACACTTCCCTGGGTTAGATTCATCAGTCCCTAAAGGCTCTCACAAATTACGTTAATAGCACAAAGAGCAATAAAGACAGCTAAAATCATCCCAAATTACACAAATGACAAAAAACAAAAACACAAAACAACAACAAAACAACAACAAAGATACACCACCAAGAACACTTGTGGTCAAGAAGGAAACAAGAGGCTGTGGATGCCCCGTCCCTGGAGGTGTTCAAGGTCAGGTTGGATGGGGCCCTGGGCAGCCTGGTCTGATATTAAATGGGAAGGTTGGTGGCCCTGCATGTGGCAGGGGGTTGGAGATTCATGATCCTTGAGGTCCCTTCCAACCCTGGCCATTCTGTGATTCTGTGAAACAACCACCATGCACCACAGTCTCTGCTCAGCACCAACAACCAGCCTGCAGCTCTTGCAATGCCCTCTCCAACTCACACATACCCACGCTGCTCATCACTGTCCTTGCAAAGTTTAAAGAATTTCAGGTGCAATGAAGAGTAACACCAAAGTCTGGGAGCAAGCACTGCTGCTTAAGATGCAACAGATCACACATGAACGTTAAGCATTATAAGAAATGGGTATTAATTTTGATGGAAGCTTACATAAAGGTTAAAAGAAGTGTTTAGTCAGGCTTAATGGTTTTTTATGGCTTATATAGCAAGATTATTATACACACTGCCTACAACACGTGCAAAGAGTGAGCACAGTATACGCACTTTCCATTTCTGTTTCACATTTATTAGGAAAGTCAAGATCAGACAAAAATGCCTTTCTCTGCAATGCCTCTTCTCCTGATCTTCAAGATCCAAGCAAAATAATATAAAATGCTGTGACGATGCAGAACGAGATATGAAATGCAGCCTTCTAAAGCATGAAAAATTGGCTGTTGTAGCAAGAGAGAAGAATAAAAGCACAGCATTCAGCTCTTTAAGACTGCCTGAGACATTCAGGCAAAAGACACTTAACCTCTCCCTGTCTTAATTGTCTCTCAACACTAAAACGAATCTAAATTCTAGTCTCCATCAGACAGATGTTTGATAAATGATCTAAAACGCTCTGTAAAAGCACTGTACAAAGGAGCTGCTTTAATCTGTGAGAAGGACAGAATCCCAGCAGTGCAACAGAGAGTAGGAGGAGCCAGTCTGCCATGGATGCTATAAACTGAGAGCCAATTAAAAGCCCCTGTAACAAACCACAGAACCTACATCCTACCTGCTGTCTTCACTGCCATCCTACTGGGGCAGCAGTGACTGCTGAAAGCAACTCAGTGAGTTGGTGACTTCTACTTACACCACCAGTCCGAAGCAGCACGCATAGCTCACCTGCATTGCTGTAAGCAGCAGTAGCAGCACCAACAGTGGACATGATCTTAATGTATCAAAAGCCTAAAATATTTCATTTAAATGAAAAGAGAGCTCTGCTGAGAGGAAGGAGAAATACACTCAGCTCACTGCGTGAGGTAGCTTACAAAATACCTATCAGGGATGGTGATTTTCCCCCCAGAATTCTTAAGCATCAAGATGTCCACAATACTCAACAAACAGGAGACAAAATAATTAAGAAAAAAGAAATCAGAAATCCCACTACTTATTCCAGTCACTACTGAATAAAAGACAGCTTGCTATAGCAAAATCTGCCCTGCAGATCTCAAGTGCACAAGGCAAGCGGTAATTTGCAGCCATCAGCATTCATCCTTTACTAAAAATAATCAA